CATTCTACTGTACTGTAATACTGTACTTAACTTCCCATTAGCTGCTTTGGAGGAGAAAGCAATACTTATTATGTCCTCCCTTTATATTTTCCAGCTATTCAGGATTATGAGACTGCTTCAAAACAAAGCGAAAACGACCGGCAGATAAAAGAAGGCCTGGAGAAAGCTCAGCGACTTCTCAAACAGTCCCACAAGAGGGATTACTACAAGATCCTGGGAGTGAAGAGGTGGGCACTGCAGTTTTGGTTATTGGATTTCTTTTCAAATAGGTGTTTTCCAGACAGGGAATTATTTTCGGGAAGTATCAATATGAGAATAATTGGGGTTTTTCTTATTCATTTTCTTTGACAAATGGGTTGCTTTGCAAGGCTGCTTCAGAAATGTATTTGTTTTTCTTTTGGGACTGTATAACAACCGTTGCTCTGCAAAAAAATGTACAATTGACAATTTAACTTGTATTACATTTTAAGAAAGCCTTCTAACCCCAACTCTTTGTCAAGCATTATTAGGTCCAGCTTGTGTTGATAGTAAATATCCCCCCCCCCTCTCATTGTCACAGAAATGCACAGAAAAAGGAGATCACCAAAGCCTACAGGAAACTGGCACAACAGTGGCATCCTGACAACTTCCATAAACCAGAAGAAAAGAAGAAGGCTGAGAAGAAGTTTATAGACATCGCTCAGGCCAAAGAGGTTCTCACTGACCCAGGTAAGAAGTTGTGTGTTCTGCAGAGTCGGTGGAAAGTTCTGCTGTCAGTCTCCGATAAATGCCAGGCCTCCGAGGGGCTGCGGTGAACAGCTCGCTACTTTCTGTTCTGTTCAAGCAGCTTGAGACCCTTATTATTTTACTGGGCATCCATTTTTTCAGTAAATAGTTTTATTCAAACATCTTACAGAAATAAGTAAGAGTATAGTACTATAGGCAGTCCTAGTGTGGAAATGTTACCACTATTAATGTCCTCATTTCACTAAAATACAATGTCATATTTGTAGTTGGTTTTATTCACAGGTTGCATCTTAACACTACAGTTCACACCCATGTCTCTTTGCAGTTAGAATTGGCAATCGCACATCGCAGTAATCCACATGGGGCATTAGTAATGTGAGCTTGCAATTTTGCTTAATTCCTGAATTTAACTCAACTGAAATCAGGCCATGTATCCAGGTATCCATAGTAATTATAAAGGCCTATATTTTGTGTTTTATGTGTCCTCCCTAATTCATTTATATCCTTCACACCAAAGACTCTGTCTCTGAAAAGACGTCTCCAACTCAAATTTGGACAAGACTTTTGGAGCGTGCTTTGGCGCTTAGTAGCCTTATACCGTGCTATACGACATTTTCTGATGAGCGGAGGGAGGTAGGGGGTTTGCATGGAATTTCATGCTGTGGCTCAGTAGATTGAGTGCTGGACTTTGAATCAGGGGATAGCAAGTTCGAGTCCCACTGCAGTCAGCATGTCGGTGTGTCCCTGGGCAAGACACTTCACCCCAAATTGCTCCTGTGGGGATTGCCCACAGTACTGAATGTATGTAAGTCGCTTTGGATAAAAGCATCTAACAAATGACATGTAATGTAATGAATTAGCCAAATACCTGTGATGTACATATTTTCACCCGAGTGCATTATAGACACTGCGTTTTCTTTTAATACTAACTCCTAGAAGGATTGATTTCTTGTTCAAAATGAATATATGTGGTTTTTATTTTGTGGAATTGTCTGTTCTGATACGTTGTGTTTTTTCTAGAGATGAGAACCAAGTTTGACCACGGGGAGGACCCCATGGATCCAGAGAGCCAGCAGGGTCGTCCTCACCATCAGCACTTCCATCAAGGCTATCAGGGTTTCAATCCATTTGGCTCTGGACCCTTCAACTTTAAATTCAACCACAACTGAGGGAGCTCATATCCAGCACAGCTGGAGCGTTTCTCCTATTTCCCTCCGCATTTAAGAAGGGAGATCAGTGACATCAGGAATGCCAGGAATGTCCTAAGTCTCTCAAAAAATGTGGAGCAAATTGTGACTTTAATTTAGTGACCTTAATTAAATAATGCATTTTTGTTGTTGAATGATACAACTTTGAATTCCGTTTGGGGAAGGTCTGTTGCTATGCTAACAAATATCTGCCATGTGTGAAGCAGCTTTTATGTCAAGTAATTCATTCTGACACATCTTCTCCACGTTCACTAAGATACACATCCATTCAGAAGGTGCACTTTGTACATAGGTACACTGCTATTTTTTATATGAATGGAGTTTTTCTGAACTGTAAATAAAGAAATATTTATGTACCTTGAGTTGAATATACGGGTAAGAGTATTGCTGTATGGAAAGGTCAGAGAGGTACTTTACTGCATTCATGGAGCGAAGGCGAAGCCACAGTTTGAGAAATAGTACTTCATCAGATTTAACCTTTTCCAAATTACAGCCATCTTTACGGCTTCTTTTCCACATAAATGTATTTTCACATGATGTAATGGTTTATGGCAAGAAACTAAATTACATTGTTAGGAAATTCATTGATTGTAACCCGTACAGAGCAGGATCCTCTGACCACAGATTAAACAAAGGATTCAGTAATGATGGTTTTGTAGCAAATATTTATTTTTACCAAACAGAAATATAAACAATTATATTTGACACAGCACAGTGAAAATGTTTAATTGGCTTTAAGACAAGGAACAATGACAGTTGGCTTTGACTGAGCAGCATCACCCATTTTATTCCTGAGACAAAAACACTGGTTCATTGTGGAATTCTAATATTTGAAAGTAACTTCTAAAAACTCAATGCAGTGAAGCCAAATGTAGCTAAGATGTAAACATACTGTAATAAGTTAAAATCATAAATCCTACCAATAGACCATGACCTTTAGTGTGCAAATGAGGACCCTCTGATCCACACCTTGGCAATGGGGTCCTGCCATTGGATAATCGCTAATCAGGGGCGGGGTTTAACCAACTGTAACTGCTATTGGGTAAAGGGGTTGAATTTGTAATTTTATAAAACATCATGGCACTCCCAGCTTTAATTATAGTTTAATTGGAACCTCCATTTCAAATTGAAAAAGCAAAAGAGAGTACCCTTCCAACAAGTATTCAAAACACATTTATGGCAAATAAAACAAAGGTAATAAGACGTCCATTCACTTTAATTTAAATGAACAATGTGTGAAATTGAACAGGCTCCAGATGTGACTGCTGAAGGGCTTGAGAATAGTTTCCAAGCCACCTTGAAATAAAACAAAAAGACTAAAAATACATTTTAATTTCAACATAAGATATTTAATGTTTGTTTGACCCAATAAAGCCTCAGCCAATATAAATACAAGTTAGCAGGACTGTTCATACTGATCAATGAGTGATGCTGAACGTTCATTAGGGCTGAACGATATACCGTGTCATGGCGATAACCGCGGTATGCGCATGCGCGGTATTCACACAGCAGGGACGTGCGGTTTTATTCATTTAAAAAAAAAATGCTAACGCACTTTAGCACAGAATTCCAAATAAAGATACCCTTATTACTTATCGAAACTGCACATACAATATATCCGATTAAAGCTGAGACTCCACAGATTATTTAAGTATAGTATCTAAGCGATCCGATCTCGCAACAGGGGAAGCAAACACAGACATCACAACACGTACCTTTTACGGAGCTTTTACGGGAGATCGTCTCACCGTAGCTGTCAATCTGATCAAAAGACGTGTTCAATGGCATTAAAACGAGAAAGAAAAAACGCGGCTGAATCGGTTGATCCATTGATCCATCTTTGAAGCAATTGTTTATAATCCATAATTCCATTTTTATGTAAAAATCGGAGCACAAAAGTTAGCTGCTAATGGTAGCTACCATTAGCAGCTTCCGGTTTTGGCTACGCGTCACTCTCACTCCTTATTTGGTAATGTGTGTGTGTTAGACTGCCGCATATCCAAGACCGGAAGCAGCAGCCACTCTGGTGGCTACCATTAGCAGCTAACTTTTGCTCTGCGATTTTGACATAAAAATGGAATTATGGATTATAAATTAAATCATTTTTTTTATACAGAGACGTTAAAAACCTATGGATTAACCGATTCAGCCGCGTTTTTTCTTTCTCGTTTTAATGCCATTGAACACGTCTTTTGATCAGATTGACACATCTCCCCTAGAAGCTACGTAAAGGTACGTGTTGTGATGTCTGTGTTTGCTTCCCCTGTCCGAGTTCAGATCACTCAGTGATGATACTATATACCTAAATAATCTGTGGAACCTCAGCTTTAATCGGATATCTTGTAAGTGCAGCTACGATAAGTAATAATAAGGGTACTTTTTGTAAGAGAATATTTTAATCTGATCTGTTTATAGAGTCTGTTATTATTCCTTAGAGTCTGTGATACTGCAAACATCTGCTTGTAGTCAGTCAGAGACTCCTCTGTTGGTTGAGGTCACAGGTCAAACGCTTCTCCTATATCCATGGGGGGTTTTAGACCTGGCAGGATCTCTTTGAGACAAGCAGACCATTGTCTCGCATCGGCTATTGATTATACGCGGGCTTTCTGGAAGCCCGCCTCTCCTCGTGTTGGTTAGATGTTTTGTGTCTTTTGGTTCAGAGATCGCTGGTGGAGCACGGGACATGTGTGAAACTAAGATGATCTCCCGGCCGTTATTGTCTGTACTTTCTCCAATAAAACTCTTCAGTGCTTTTGGCTAACAACGGTTCCAGACTCCTTCATTCTACCTCAACATTGCAACAACAGAAGTTTACCTTCACACTTTTATCTTGAGTTCTGTGCCAAAGTGCGTTAGCATTTTTCGCTCAGGGATCATTTAGATGCTTCTTATGAGACTTGTGTTTTGTTTTGGTAAAAATGGTTTGTATCGTCAGTTAGCTGAGATTATTTCCGTTAATCTGGTATAACACATTAATAGTATCTTAAATATTACGATCCCCTGAGACACTGTCGTGAAAAAAAAAAGTAAAGTACCCGCCGGGACTTTGGGGTTTAACAGGTTAAAAAACCCGCAATATACCGCGGGGGGGGGGGGGGGAAATCGCGATGTCAGTTTTTTTCAATACCGTGCAGCCCTAACGTTCATAGTAATATATTCAGACATATTGGACTTTTGTTTCAGATTTCTGATATGATTTATAATAAAGGAGCAACTGGACAGGAGAGTGGAACAATGATATTATACTTACTATAGATGATCAATAAGTATTAACTCACTAACCTGTATAAGGAATCTTGCAAGGGAAGGCTAAACTAAAAAAGATTTGAGGTAAACAAAAGACAGTCCCCCTACTCTTGACCAAGAATAAGAGTGACACCCACTAATAAAGAACAGTCCCAAGTACTAATGTAACAGTTTTAACAGTAAGAAAGGACATTTAAAAACAGACTGGCTTTATGTCTATCACCACTTTGGTTTTGGCAAATTGATACGCAAATGCATAAACTTTGTGAAACAGTTTTCCATGATAGAAAAACAGAACAAAAAGGGTCTTAGAAATGTGCCCTCTCTGTCTGATTCTTGCATACATTATCAGTGCAATATTGTTTTTATTTTCAAACATACGCCTGAGAGTGTGCTTTGACTGACCTCTCATCATTACCCCCGCTATGAGGATATTGTGGCTTGTTGATTTATTTATCTGTTTGACAGCATGATTACATAATTGATAACAGTACATGCCAGGTATTAATCAAAAGTGATGGAAGGGTGGGGCAGGATCACAAATAATGTTTCACTTATGGAATTTCTTGTCAAGTTCCTTCTTAGTTAACTTCATTTACCATGGCAACCACATCCTAACAAATAACTTATTTGAGTGATGAAAGCACCCCGTAAGTTCCCAGTCGGCAGTTAACACTTACAATATGTGTTCATTTTGTAAGACTGCAGTAGCAGATATGGCATCTGAAAATATCACATCCTGCTGGGGATGCAACGCTCCATGGCTATGTTTACATGGAATTGTCTGTCAAGCTTCACAGGTGGGCTGCGTGCAAAAAGGTTCTGCCCCCCCCCCCCCCCCCCCCTCTCCAGGACGGGGCTGGCAGGCACTAAAGTTCATCACGCTGGTTGTCTAGGGGTGAAGGTAGGAGAGGAATAATGAAAATGAGCACAGTGGAGAGAGAGAGAGAGACAGAAAGGTTAATCATACATGAGTAGAATAGATCATTTGACTTTTCTTTCTTGTAAAACTGGGAATACATGATGTTTCATTTCAAACCTTTTTCATGTTGTGAGGCAGAGGGAGTGTGTTTTGGCGCTGGTGTGTCCTCCTGTCCCTGAACCCGCCTCAGCAGCTGTTTTATCTCGTTGTCATATTCTACCCACTCTGGCACGATCCTAGCTGCGGCCGTTAGCTTGGGCTCCTTGGTCCTCGGGTTATTGCACTGCAGCAGAGAGACAAAGCGCATCACTCATTGTCTACTACACCACACTATTGTCATTCCCAGCACTGTCCGTGGCGAGTGTTGGAACCTAATTTGATTTCCAATTCTGTTAAAAGGACATTAGCCCATGTCTTGTGTCTGAATTACCACGATGAGACAATGCTTCCTATTCCAATCCACTGGAGCCCGTCCAGTAATTCTCTAAAGGAGTTTAGGAGACTACAGGATTGCTCCTAAATAGTTTCCTAAATGCCAAGTGCATCATGGACATTACACTGTAGAGGGGAATCCAGTCTTTTAGTGCTGCAGCAAATACAGGAAAAACCTGCAAACATGGCTAGAAAGTGGTATATGAACCCTTTGTTCATTATCAGCATGTTTCAAGACATAATCCATCTTTTTTAAAAGAAGGAAAAAGGGATTTTACCATCTAAAAAAGTTGTTGATATTAATAATGGAGCTTTATTTATATAGCACTTTTCATACAACACATGCAGCTCAAAGTAGAGCTGCTCGATTATGGCAAAAATCATAATCTCGATTATTTGGGTCAATAATTGATATCAACGATTATTAAAAACGATTATCCATTTACTTTGAAAACATCAATTTATTGAAAAAGAATGTGAACAGTATATTTTTAACAGTTGATTACCCTGAACTTTAAGTATAATTCAACTGAAAAACCAAAAAAAAGAAATAAAATAAAAGAAATAATCGTTTTATTTCGATGTTGTTTTCATAATTGTTGCAAGCCAAAAACGTAATTGCGATTAAAATACGATTAATTGAGCAGCCCTAGCTCAAAGTGCTTTAGAAATTACAATAAACAAGAAATTCAAGACAAAAGGTACAATACACAAAACAAGAAAAAATGTATGATAATACAAATAAAATAAATAATGGTTTCTCTCTGACAGATAAGACACAAGACAACTGAGTCGATGCAACAATATAAAACCCCATAAAACAAAGTGAACATATAGGTACAACAGAAATACAAATAGAAAGATAATAGTAATAGAAATGCCATAATTCTACTAAAGTTAATCGATTAAGAATTCAAATATACCAACCAAAATAAATATTGCTATTGAAGCATGTTAGATTAATAAAAGATAAAATCCTTTAAGACCTATAAAATAAATAAAACAATATAATAAAGACTAAAAGAACATTTAAAGTGGGGGGTTGCTAATAAAAAGCTCATCTAAAAAGATGTGAATGATAATGGATGTCACAGCTGTGGAACTCACCAGGTCGATGGTCTTAGCGGAGACTTTGGAGGTTTCATCGCACCACGTCTCACACCACAGCCACTCCTGAGGGAGAGACTTGATGGCCACTTGGTGGATCATGTTGTTAGGAAGGTCCTAAAGAAACATTCAAACATATATCACAAATGTGGAATCTCAACAGCATGTTTATAATGCTATGATGTCCCTCAGAGCGGCGTACCTGGTCCAGGTTGGACAGACTGTTGGGGTCCTGGCTCAGGGCCTGGTACTGGCCTCGTAATCTGTCCCCAGCGGCAATCTTCCGGAACTTCTTCAAATCTACCACGTACAGCGCGCTGGTTGGAATATAGGAGGGAGAGACATAAAAAGCAGGTGCGAGAAAACCATTTCCTGAAGGGAAGGCCCGTAGGAATGACTTAATAAAACAAATAATGACTTAATAAAGATAAATACTCTAGACACATTTGGATAATTGACCCTAATGTTTCATATTAATAAACCAACATAGTAAACCTTGTTGTTTCACTTATTAGATCAGGGCTCCCACACCTTTATAGACATGGATTTTAATTACTTTCAAGGTATATTCTTTCAAATTCAAGAACTGTGACACGATGACTACTTTTACAACCCTGAGAGTCTTTAGGATGAGAATTATGAGGCTACAGGCTTTACAGAACTAAATGTTTCCATTTAACTTCAACTTGTATTCTTTCCCCCTCAAATTCCCAAACTTTTAAGGATTCCCTGGGTTGCTTGTAGTTTTAGGCCTGCCAGCTGATTTTCACCACCTCCTCTTTACCTGGGCTCACTGATGCAGATCATTAAACCCTTGCTGCATCTGTCCCTCCCCACAGAGCTAAGCAGCATGCTGGCATCCAATCAAATGACAGCTTTACAGCTCTGCACTCTGCTCAGCCACTGGCTGCCATCACACTGACAGAGGGAGAACTCGGTGCCACACACCGAGCAATAATCTGAAATAATCTTTTTATTTCAGAGCCATAAGAACTGCAACTATAATTGGTGAGGTCCAATCACCATGGAAACTGGATGAACACAGTACTGTACCACAGCCACCATTTATTTTTTGGAAATTGGAACATTAAAATGGTGTATATATTTGTTGACTGCAAATAAGCAATCTGGAAGAAAACAAATCAAAGTGAGCGAACTTCTGGCAGATTGGTTCAATTATATTGCGTGGGTAGGATGAGATGCAACACTACACTGTGGGAAAAGTGAAGCTTTCTCTTGGGTTTAGTTTCTGAGATCCTAATAGATCGTAGGAAGGAGAAAAAACAAAACAACAGCAGTACTTCCAGCCTCGAAGTACAAGAATACACAAGTAATATTCCAGTTCCTCCTCTTTTATACCTGGAACTTAGAAGGAACAACAAAAACATGTTATTGTCAAATGATGAATAATTCCACTAGACTCTTTACTGGAGGCAAGCCAACGAGTACGGGCAGTGTCAGGCAGAGAAAGATGTATTTCCATCATTGTGAGAGATATATTACATTTTTAGTTTTTTTTTTTAGACTTCTTTGAAACCTTTCATTCCGCTTTTCAAAGATAACAGTCCTCAAATAAATACTGAGTGAATAGCCTCCAAGGACATCAATTCCAATAAATGGTGACAACTATTTATTTCTAAACTGGGAAAATATCAGAAAGAGGAATAGTGTTGATGTTGATAGTATATAATAGAACATTAGGTAACATATCAGAAGTCAAGCAGACAGAATGTCAGTGCTGCTATGCTCTCCCTTCACAGTTGTTTAAATAACTACCTGATGTGGTATTTCCTGTGTCCTAGATGTGAGGCCCAGTAGCCGGTTTTCCAGAAGCGATAACCTTCCATCTCTTTGCGACTGTCACAGAACGGAGTGTAGCCATAAGGAGCTCCCTGCAGGTCGAAATCCCTCAGCTCCTTCAGATCAGCCCGAACTATCTGCGAGAGAAAGAGCGAGAACATTGGTGAGTCCGGAGAGGAGTGACGACCCTCAGCGGCGTTCTCATCCAATCTTCACACCGGCGCTGGAACTGATATCTCGACCTGTCTTTCACTTTCAGCCACACCCTCACACCTAGCTCCTTCCTATGACACTTTCATTTGATGCCTACCTGATCAGCGTCCACAAAGATGATCTTGTCCACAGCCAGCGGGAACAGGACATCCAGGAAGAGGATTTTGTATCCCCAGATAATGCGCTGCTTCTCAGTCTGCTGGTGGAGCCAACGGGGCCACTTGTACTGCACCAGTTCATACTGGAAGCCAAGAGACTCGGCCATTTCAGAGATGGTTTCCTAAACACCCCAAAAAACACACCAGAGGTTAAATAAATCCAATATGAGGGCACATTTCTCATTAACTAAACACCTAAGAAAAGTGCTAAAATGATATTAATACTTGTGGATAGGCTAACAAACATCTATAAGGAGCTTACTTAGAAAGAAATGACAAATATATTACACAATTGAGCCCATAGTACAAATATAATGCTGGTTATTTTGTGTGTCCCAGACATTATGTTACAAGCATAAAAAGGTCATAAGACTGAGTGGATATTACAAAAAGGGAACAACCCTCAGATAATTCCTTTGCTTAGTCTAAATAAAGCTCTGAAGGACCTGCTATTCTCTAGGCAGGAATAACAGAATCAAAGGGGAAGTACCTTGAAAGACGGTGAGAGGTAATTCTTGAGGAACCAGAACTTAACAGGTGTTTTTGTGTGTCGAAGGACGGACAGCATCATTATTCTGAAATGGTGAAGGAAGAGGGAAGGATCAGCTCGAGGATCAGGGCTTAAAGGAAAGCAGCATGAAGGGCCTGGAAAGGAAGCGTGTGAGTGTTTGTGTTTGTGAACTCAAGGTGACCTACCTCAAAAAGCGCTCGTACAGATGTCCCGAGGCCACAGAAAATATGTTGAGAACGTCCTCCTTGTGCTTTTCGCCCTCATCCTTCTTGGAGCCGCCACCTGTGATGCTGTAAATGAGAGGACGGAACGTGAGCCACTGGTATCGTATGTAAGTAAATCAGGACTAAGCCAGCACACACACCATGCTTTTTTAGAACCAGGAGCAATCATTATTATAACACCCAGGGGAAAAAAGCATTTTTAGACAAACCATGCAATACTGTGAAGCAGTGGCGTTTCATTTCAATGAATCGATGGTAAGGAAAGCCATGATTTTCATATGATTTGAACAGCAATGTAGATTTCTGCAGGATCTAGATAATAATGTGATAGAACCGAGACACTGAAAGTAGCTGTGACATGTTAAAGGTCCCATGTCATGGCCATTTCCACTGATCATAATTCCATTGTTGAGGTCTACTAGAATAGATTTATATTGTGCAATTTTCCAAACTCACATTGGTTTCGCATACAGCATCTCTGTAAACTACGTGTATTCACTCTCTCCACTAAACGGCTCGTTGCAGCTCTTGCCCCCCCTCCCTGTGAGCCCAGTGTGCTCCGATTAGTCGGGACCAGTCGGGACGTTGTGAATCGCGCTGAGCTCCGTGGAGGTGTGATTTCCTTGTTTAGCGAAACACAGCCAAACTCACCCTGAGCACACACAAAGTCACAGCCGAAGTAAAAACAATAAGTGTGGCTTGATATTGAGTAAGAAAAGGGTTGATAAACGCTGTGAGAATGGGTCTGCCTCTGCAGAGAGAATTCCGCCGCGATCCCAACTGTCTGTTATCAGCCTGCAGCCAGGGAGGAGAGATCAGCAGAGCTGCCTGCACTGAGTGTGTGAGGAAGTCCGTGGATTGGTCAATTTGGACCAATCAGCGGGGGCTTAACGTAACGGCTCCGCGGACGTAACGTAACGGCTCCACGGATTGGTCCATTTCGTTCCGGGGACGACATGACATCATGATATCCCCGGAAGAATCAAATGGACAGTGATGTATCTCCAACGAGGTGTTTTGGGGAGGTATTTTCTGTTTTAGAGTTTTACTCCCTACATGGTGTACTTTGAGGGTTTTTGACTCTGCACACCGTACATGCATAAAAACCTTCATAACACACAAGGGGACGGGTACTAACCGGAAAAGCATGACATGTCACCTTTAACTTTTAGCCCACCATACGAAGAGCATTATCTAAAACAATTTCTATTCAATCGATAAAACAGTAAGTCAAAGTTGCGCTGTTACATTTGAAATGGGAGCACTAAGCGTGTCATGGATTTGAAGCTTTTGGTAACATTATAAACATAAATGTATAATAAACACTTTAGGCTTCAGCTTGAGGATAAAGCAGCAGAGTGCACTCTTCACATTGCACGGCTTTGTAAAAAAAAAGAAAACATAATCTAATAAAAAATGATTGTGAAAAAAGAGGCAGCACTACTTCCGCTGTCTGCCTTGCTTGTTGTTTCTTTGGCCTGAGCTGCTTCTCTGAATGCATTGCATGATGGGAGTCACACAACGTCAAATGCATTGATTGAAAAATAAATGTAACATTAGGTCAAGCTGAACGTGGAATAATTCAACAACAGCCGTAATGGCGGCAGGGAGCTCGGCCGCAGAGAGTGATTTGCACTCCGAGCGATCTGTGGAAAGAGAGAGAGTAGTCGATCTAGTAAAGGGACCTACACAAGAAGGCATGTCTCTTTTGTTGTGATTTAGTGTTTTGCTGCCTCGCTGGTTCTCTTTTTTTAACAAACCGGCGAGTTAATATTTTGTATATATTCATTAGATTGGACCCATTGCAAACATAATGTTTATATAAGAAGAGACAAAGGAAAGTGTTTAAGCCGGTGGTTGCATCATTTCTCCAAAACATTTCAGCTACACATCACGGCGCAATTAATAATGCAAAGCTTGAGGCACCATTTATGTCGGAGGTAACTCTGGTAAGCCTGATAACCTGGTGGGACCCGACGGGGTTCATTTATTATAGGACAGAGACGTTTAAATGATCATTTTCTCATGTAACTGAATGAACTGTTTCCAAAGGATGTTACCGTCTCCAACCCTGTTCATTTGCACTGCATGAACTAGTGATGCAGTGATTTTAAAACAGGTTGTTGGAATTCATTAATTTAGTAAAGATGCCAATTGGCAGACATAAAGAAAACACTTTGAAAGGGAAGTGTATTATGGCTGCTTTTACTAATGAACGGGATGAAAACAGAACACACAATGGGTGTACTATGCATAGTGCATTTTTGATATGGTCCAACTGCAATCACATTTGAAGCAAATGACATGACATGTGGTCCACTGTGGAGCAGCTCCTCCCACGTTGGAGTACCCCAGGACACGAAAATACCAAAGCAGCAAGAAAGGGAAAATAAATCACTGCGTCTTAGGGGAAGGAAATAGCCCAAAGGGACACTTATTAAAACTGCCTGCTAAAAGATAGTGAAACTGAAGTAAATAGCTAGGTGTTAGCGAAAGGTTAACCAACAATTAGAAAATCAAGGTTACAAACTTAATTTAATACAGTGTTGAGATACCAGCACAAACCCTATATTTCAGAAGGACACTCTCCACACCCTAACTCTATAGAAGTGCAGTGTCTCATGATGCCGGGCACATTTAGCGGACAGAAATCAGGCATTGTGCTGGAGGGTAGATGTGTCTGCAGTCAAACTGTGTGTCCTTGTCGGTAACAGACTGCTGATGAGGGGAGGAGAGTCTCTCCCACACTCAATCACAAACACAGGCTGGGCCCGAGGCTCCAGGAAGACACCAGTGAGAGGGGGGGGGGGGAGGGGGGAGGTGTGAAGGGAGCATACCGCTACTCGTCCTCTAAAAGCAACTCTCACATGCAAATACTGAGTAAGAAACTGTCTGGTTAGCAAGTAACATCCATACAACACAAACGTACAGATGGCCCATGATGCTGCACGTTGCTCAGCTGTGGAGCGGTTATCTCCCTTTTCAAACCAAAGCTCTCTCTGGTTGAGTTGGCTTTCAGGGAGTCACCACACATCAGTAGGGTCTGGGGATACCGGCTGCCTGCCATGACTAAGCCAGCCATTATAAAGGCCCCCCCCCCAACCCCGCAGATAAGCAGCTTTAGAGAGTCAGGTGAGAGCCCGTTTGGCTGACTCACTCACACCAGATAATCTGGACCTCTGGAAGTATCCACAAAGCTCTGAATAAATCCTGAGCGATGGACACTAACACTACCAGGACACAATTCTACTCATTTTCCTACAACTCTGTAGATTGAGCAGAATAATTATATCTGTGTGGAGATCATCCAAAGACACAAACAAGATGTTTGCCATAAGCACACACAAACAAACTGATAGAAGATGTATTGTACCTTTTGTTTTCTATTACTCTTCAAGCTATTAACTGTTGCTGTTTGTCGGGGTGTGAGACCTTCATGGAAAAGTCTCAAAACCAACCCACAACCATCCAAAACGGTAACAAAGCAAGAAGAGACCCCCAACACTCATGGGGGACAGCTCTGTTCCTTCATTTTCCTTTTCCAGCCAGACACAAAGAAGAAAAAGGTTGAGAGCATGTCGAAAAGGAAATACATCTATTTTCACTCAGCCTCATTATTACTCTACACAGATAAAAGTCTCCTTAGAGATTTGCAGGGGCGGTTCTAGGGGGGGCAGTGACCCCCTAACACTGACCTCTGACCCCCCTGTGGCCCCCCTAACAATGAAAAGTTTTTATTTTTTTAAATGTATATTTTCTGGTACTCGGTTTGCCAAAAACCGCAGGATTTTGTTGCTGTAATGTGAGATTGTGCAGACACCCTTATGTAAAGTAGAGATGTAACTGTTAATTGCCTTTATTTTTATATAAATATGGTGTTAGTGCAAACATTGCACTATAACTTAAGCTGAAGCTAACAGTAATAACTATAAGATCTATCTGAAATAAATAAGTGTACTGAAACAAATACCAATAACTGTATTGCATTGTTTTCTTATGCGCAATTACTTCATACTGTCTAGTTCTCTTTTTCGTCCTGCATTTATTGTGCCCCTCTCAGAAAATAACTGGCCCCCCAGTGGCCCCCCCAGTCAAATTGGTCTAGAACCGCCACTGGAGATGAGATCATTTGTAAAAACTCACTCGCTCAAATTTCGATCCACATCACTAATTCTTCAGATGTGTTCGATCAATACATGGCCTTCAGTCCCGCCATTCAAAGCAAATCCCTCAAAGCATTCTGAGGTTACAAATGAAGTGATGGGTAAAAAGTAGGGGTGTAACGGTACACGTGTGTACCGAAGTGTACCGAACGAATATAACGTTAAACGTAAACAATTGAGAATGTGAACAACTTCTTGGAAGTAATCTCAGGTGCTGCGTCGCAGCATTCAGAGTAATTTGCTCACATTGGGTTCAACGCGACATAGAGCGAGCAAGTCATTTAATTGGACGAGAGGGATGCGTTCAAATGTAGTCAGTAATTTGAGGAACTGTCGAAATGGCGACCGCAGATAAAGTTGAGCTCGAAAATCCTCCAGCATCATTGAAGTCTCCGGTTTGGGAACATTTTGGTTTCGCAGTTACGTACAAGGATGACGGACAAAGACAGGTGGACCGAACTGTTTGTCGGCATTGTTCAACTAAAATTGGTTACGCGGCTGGCAATACATCAAACTTGCACACTCATTTGAAAAGGCATCACCCGGCCGAACGTGAATATCACCGGTACCAAAAGAAAAAAGACTGAAGTGCAAACCCAACTCCCGCTAGCATGTTAGCCTCCACCACTCGCAGAAAGTTCAGACCGAGCCAAAGCTATTACAAACGCCAAATATCCTTATGTTGCCATGTTAGCAAAGTGCTACCTGGCTGTATCTGCTACCTCTGTCCCTAGCGAGAGGGTGTTCTCCACAGCAGGAAACATTGTTAGTGCCAGCAGATCTGCCCTTTCGGCAAGCAATGTGGACAAGTTCATCTTTCTTTAAAAAAACATGAAAATACAATGACAAGCAAGTCATAATGTCAAACTGGCTGCTTAGGTACTAGTACAGTACAGTTCAAATACAGATTATTTCAGTTCATCGAAATGCTGCACCTTAATGTTTATTTTATTATATTTTGTATTTATTTGAGTGAATATTCACAGTTTAATAATAATTTTAAAATATATATATATATTTTATGTTTTGTGATAATTGTTTCTGCTGTACCGAAAACGTACCGAACCGAACCGAACCGTGACCTAAAAACCGAGGTACGTACCGAACCGAAATGTTTGTGAACCGCCTTTTTTTACGAGTGGGAAAAAAGTCCATCACTCAGGGCAGTATTACACTATATATAATCCAGGGGGCGGTATTGCGCCTAAAAGTAAATAACAAATGAAGAACAAGAACAAAACACAACAAAACGAACCCTGAATACATGAAGAAGAACAGTTAGTAGCTATGGCGAGTTCACACAACACACAGGAGCTAGAAGAAGACCCACCTGCTTCTTTTAAATCAGGTGTGTGGGAACATTTCGGGTTCCCTGTGGACTACAACAATGATGGGGTGCGAGTTGTGGATCGGACGAGGACGGTGTGTCGGCGTTGTTCGACAGCGGTGCGGTATGCTAGTGGTAACCAGTCTATGGTGGTAACACGTCAAACATGCTCAATCACATCCGAGTCAGTCTCAGTCCCCAGCGAGAGGGTTTTCTCGACGGCAGGTGACATAGTTACCGCCAACAGATCTGCCCTCACTACTGACAACGTAGACAAACTCATCTTTTTGAAGAAAAACTTGAAAATAGAGTAAAGCTTGAGTACCTTTATTTAGGCATAATGGCCTCTCACACACTCACAAGTTAATTACACATGTTAGACATTGCTCCTAAAGGTACAGATTTTATTTTGTTTTTTATTTATCATTGTATTTATTTTATATTTAGACATCAGGAGATGTTCTACAGTTCTGTATTGCCTTTTATTGATTGTGATTGAAACACTTTCTTATTATTTATTTAAATATGTTCAAGACATTCTTTTTAGTTGTACAGCTTATTTAACCTTTTAGTTTGACATCAGCCAATATAAATAATATGGCCATCTGAGTGTTACTGTTTGTGGTTTGTTTTTAACTATGTAATACAGTTAATGATTCCAAATGTTAGAGTTCCTTATTTTCATACCAAAACTTGCACTACTGTTAAAAATAAATAACAGCAAAACAAATTATGCATTTGGGACTTTTTTTGCTTTTCCTTGTTGTACCGAACCGTGACCCCCAAACCGAGGTATGAACCGAACCGTGACTTCTGTGAACCGTTACACCCCTAGTTACACCCCTAGTAAAGATATATCTTTGCCACTACCAACACTTTCTAAGATAACTCGTCGAGGTGTACATAATGTTTGCTGAAATATTCAGACCCTTTTACTGCAGTTAATCTGTCGCTATTATTAAGTTGTGCAGTCATTTTTAAATGTTTTTAAATATATTTATGCAAAAGCATTCTGTTCTATCAATGACAAAACAATGATTTCATTGTGTGGGTCACCTGTAAAACAAACATAATTGTGTTGGATGGTTTTCAGTGTGTTTTTTGCTCATCTTTTATCTAATGACTGCTTTATTTAGTCATCATTTCCAAACCTCCCCTGGATGTTAAGTAGGACTGATGAGGACTTTATTGTTATATTCTCCAGAGCAATGTGTCGACATGTGGTTTAAGTTTAATACAATTCACTGGCACTAAAGAAGACGCTATGCCTCCTGGAACAAGCTAATTCAACCTATTACTTAACCTTTTAATGTTAAAAGTATTATCATTACTCAAATTCAGCCATACCATGGGAAATGGTCTTAAGATTACATTCAATTATAAATCTATTCATCCATCTCACTACTTCCAGCTCTTTTCCCCTTGGTCATGGCAGAGGCAGGTTATAAAGTGTATTCCAAATTAGGTTCTGGAGCTCCTAAAAGCAAATGCTAAGGCCAGGAGGGATCTGTAATCCCTTCACTTTGTTCGGTTTCCGCCCGGGGTTGCCCTCCCAGATGGACAAGCCCAGAATACCTTTACAGAAAGCTTCCCGATCAGACAGCAGAACCAAGAATGCTCTTAATGTATTGCTGAAATCACAGCTCTATTTGCAATAACACAGGGACCAAAGGCTAGTATCGCCCAACCATGCTTGATGTTCCCAGATAACCTGGATAAACATGGTCAAAGACCTTCCAATACCCTTAAATAACAATAAGAATCACTGTACTACCAATACCTCTACAGCAGCGGTTCCCAACCTGTGGGCCGTGGCCCCCTAGTGGTCCGCGAAGACATTGCAAGTGGGCCGCCAAATAATTTGCAAAACCTTATGATTTGTGTGGAAAACATCATAAAGTTTTTTTATTTTAACCTCTTTTCCTTTCTTTTTCTTGATCCTCCTTAGCAACGGCCATTACAGTCCTTGACAGTGGTCTGCACTACTGGATTAACGTGTCACATGTTCTGAATTGACCAATCAGAACTTTACTTAGCCTCCGTATTGTTTATGGTTGAATGTGGGCCGCAAACATTTTTGTTGTGTGTTCCTGAGTTGAAAAACGTTGGGAACCGCTGCTCTACAGTATGACGGTAAACATACACGGCTAGTCCGCAGTCACATGTTCAGAATGTAGTCTGCACTGTTCCTACTGAATGTGAGGTTTCATCTGAGTCCCAGCACCTTGGCATTACGAGGGAGTTCATTCCTTTGCAAGCATAAATGGTCTCTATTGGTATATCTCTGCCTAAGTAAAGGTCTTCTTTCATAGTGAAGGTGAATGCATACTGAGGCCAAGTTCACACTACATGACTTCATTGTTCACACTACACAACTGGCTGTCTTTGTATATGTCCATGTGGTTTTCACATTACATGAGCATCGTCTTTCGCCCCGCTGACTTCACTAAAACACACAGGAGGCATGACAGTAAATAACTGGTTCAATGCTCATGCTTTTGAATGTTTCCACACATCTTTACTCTTAACCAATTACCCTGCGTGTGCAACATAACTTTGGTCTGTGTTTAAAGGCTACAGGCGTCCCCTCCTGCAGGTTTACCCTTATTTCAGGGACAGTGCACATTAATAGACGTTGCTGTAAATGTGGCCGTTTCAACCAAGAGGCGATATTTCATCTGTCACAAGTCCTGCGCTCTTATTGGCTGGCTAACTGCTCATGACAGGGTCAGATATTTAGCTTTCTAGGAAACGTCTGCTATCTTTGAGCAGTTCACAAATAGAACATACGAACACCACTCTGATGGCTTTTGTCGGTGAGCTCTAGAAACGTTTGTCAGGGAGAAAATCGAGGCTAAAGTGAGGTGTGAAAACTAGTTTAACTGTTTCCGTCAGCAACCAATTACAGCTGATGTTTACTCAAGGAGTAAAGTTAAATTGTTCATACTCTTAGACATGGACATAAAGCAGGATACACCATTTCATTTAGTGCTGTTGATATTCTGAAAATGACCACATTGATAAATGAATGAATGCAAAAGAGCACATGAAAATGAAACATCCTATTTAAACACAGCTTTACATTATAATTTCTCATAAAAACATTCTCTCTCATTACAAACAGTTACCAATAACTGCATGCTAATGAATATGAGGAAGCTTTAAGTGTTAAATGGTTTGCAACAACACTGCCTACCTTTTTTCAAAAGTGCTCCAAACACTTCACACAGCAGGCATTAAGTGAGGAGACAGGATCACACAGTTAGGAAGTGTTGGGGAAAACACACAAATGCACGCACACACATACCTACAGAAGCACATATTCTTTGCAAGACTAGATCTTACAGCATAATATTGCAGTCTGGATCGAGGGGAGGAATTAGATCTCCTGAAACCACAAGGTATAATTGACAAACAGAAGGAACATCAGCAGACCCACAAATCAATGAGCTCACAGTGGTTACTGCCAGTCGGCTGAGGGAGAGTTTTTAAAGCAACCAAATGTAAGATGTGTGTGAGAATCGATTACACACCTTGCTATGGAGTCCCATATGCCTTTACTTTCACTGTTTTCACTCAAAAGATCTTCATTGATCTTCTCTGCCTTTTTCTGTACCTATAATGTGAAAGGAGACACACAACAATCATTGCATCAGTGATTTTATTATAAACGGCTTAAATTCATCCCGATATCCTCAATGTGTGACCAGCTGGAGCCTTTTACTGCACGCTTCATAATGCCCGGTGCTACTAGAAATCTAACGTACTCTATAAAAAGGTCTGAAAAAACACTCACTCGGACTTTGATGATCTTACTGTGGAAACTGTTCAGCACAACAAGGACATCACCAGCATCTGCAGGGGAATCCGTTCCATCGTGCCTGAAAAAGCGGACAAAGAGAGAAAAATCATTACTCACTTAAGATTGGAAATCAAAGAATGAGGAAATCGAGATAACAGATCTGCAGTTAGTAAGAATAACAGAGGGAAGGCCGCATCTTTATTCAAACTTAACAGACCGAATCTATCATCAACAAATCTATCAGCAGTCAAAATAACATGATTTTAAAATAATAGCAATTCCAAAAAATGATAAAATGTGTGTTTTTGGACACATTAAAGTGCGAAACCGTTTGATTTTGATATGGTTATACTAATATAGTATATTTTATGATATACATATTCATTGTGATATAATAATGAACTAATGTGAAGCTTTTATCACAAACTTTAAACTTGACAGTAGTAAAAAAGTGGACACTAAAAGTCTAGGGACAAAATACAATGACACAATATAGAGCAAGGTCATTATTGTTATTACATATAAAGTGTCTGTATCAGCATCACCTTGTAGTTTAAGAAGTTAATAAAGCAACTCAACCAATCAGTCTGACTTGATTCCATGTTTTCCAGTGACGGAGATTGGTTTGCATGTTTTACCCATAGCAACAGTGAAAGAAAAGTGTAGTGCATGAGCTCCTTTCATTAGGGAGACAACAGCAGATAATGGACATGATGCAACTAACCGACAGTGAGAGCATGCACTGAAGGAAGATAATGGGACATCTGCCAGGGTCACACTCTGATCATATTCATTGTCCTCCATCATCATTTAGAATCACCTCACCAGTATTTTATCCATCACTACTTCCCAGCCACATACTGGCAGACTTAATGAGAAACTCTGTTCTGTATTGATTGTATAACACTTGCCTTTCACTGTAATTGTTTTAAGACAGATGTGTCCAGTGGATAATGTGTTTTGGCAGGCAGGATCTGCATGGTGAAACACCAGAGAGCAAACTTCAGGAAGAGATGAGCAAAAGGCTACGATGCACAGCGAGCCATTACGACTCCAGTGCTTACTAAAGGCAAAAAGCTAACCTTATCACTATGATAAATGCCCCCTCCTCATTGGGCCCAAAGTGCTGCTTGTGTTTTGCCTCCTCTGCTGTCACTGATGCAACTCAGCCTTTAGGGCTTGTGTTAGAAAGCGCCAGAGATCAATCTGTATCCCTGCTCTGAGGAGAGGAGAGCGGGCCATCTCATTCATCGCTGTCAGGGCAAGACGCAGTGGCAGCGCGGGGTAGAACAGCAAAACCCAGGCTCGGAGAATGGAGAGCACAGACGCTCCCACTAGACTCTGATCGGCCACCTAACCAGAGCAGAGTGCCGCTAACCACAAGAATAATGACACTGCCAAGGTGAAAAATGACATCACCTCTTAGCTTCACCTGGAGTATTGGGGTATAAATCTTGGTTGTCCGATATGATTCCAGAGGAACCGAGGGCTGTATGTGTCCTAAATCTTGTGTGAGGATAGCCAGACAGGACAATATGTGTGATTGTAGGGACATCTCGTGCAGGAAGCAGCACAGCTGAGTATGCAGACTGGATTCAGGGTTCTTGATTATGAGGGATTATCATGTAATGCAGAATTTATATTATGAGCTATTAGTTCCTTAAAAAAATTAAAAATAATTTGGCTTTGGTCAATTTGACTTTTTTCTCAATTAGTAGTCCAGAATTAAAAGAATACATGGATGTTTTTTTGTATTCTGTTCAAAAAGCATCAAAGCACAATATTGTTTTTATTTGTCCGGGGAAATTAGACAACGCCAACACGCTGTGTCTAGTATATGCAGCCTTTGACACCTACGCCGTCCTAACTGAAAGGTTAGCTGTCTGGCATGGCAGGTGACCAGCTGAATCATCCCTCCACTTTGTCTTCTCTTTAATAGCATGCCTCTCCTCCTACCTGTCTGTCTCCGCTCTGTAGCGAGCAGAACTCCCTGCACTCATCAAAACCTTCAGCTGCTACACTGTCAGCAGCTCTCTATGTTACCATAGCGATGGGCTTCATAGCTACCGGCATGAAATGGAGAGGTAGCTGAAAACAACCTTCATGCTGTGCTACTTATGAAGCAGCCTGATTAGTATCATTACCTAATATATTTTATGTGTTTAATATATAGTATATCAATATCTGTAAGGAAGAGATAGGAATTGAAAGTGGTGTGAATACTCACATGAGAACCTGATAAATATCCTCTGATCTCCCTTGACGTAATCTCAGGGTCCAGGCACCAGGACTGGCTTTCAGCTGGAAATATCCCTGTTGTAGTTAAAACAGCAGAGGCTCGAGTAATTAGTGTAAGCATTAAACTCACACTTGTTTTCACAGTTTCTGTTCCAAACTTACTACGGTGATTAACTACTATGATAGCCCTTTCATAAACAATATCCAACACAGTGCAAGGAAACTGTCTTGGTAACTTTAGCTTTGAGTAGAGAAAGCTCCTGACCAGGTTAGCCATGACAATAGTGTCATACATGATGGGGTCTCGACTCGTGCCCAGGGTGAACTGCAGTCCGCGGGGGGGCTGGCCGGTCGACAAGTCAAAGCAGTGGCCCTCCAGCAAGAGGTGCTCCAGCTCGTACTCTGCTGTCACCATCCCGCTCACCTGGAGCCAAACAAGAAAGTACAGAAGAGAAAAAACAACAGGGGATGATTAATAGAATGCACCACGGCCCGAATTAAGAGGTGAGAACGATTAGACTGCTGCTAACAATGACTGGGGAGCGGGATACCTCCTGCAGGAGGATGTTGTCCAAGTCGTAGGGACTGCGGACAGCCTGCACCATCCAGCTCTCCGGTGTTATCATATTGAGAGTGAGGAGGGGGGATTCTGGGAGATCCAGGAAGCGGGCAACTGGTCCTGGAGACACTGTGTCGTTGGCCAAGAAATTCACATCAGACTCCAAGACAAAGCGGTAAAAGCTGTGAAAACAGACAACCATAGATTCAAATATAAGTGTTGGTATTGCAGATTAATGCAAATTAACATAATATATCACAGTAGAGTGGAAAATTGAAAGACATCAAATCATGGATATCCTCCAGGACTTTTTTCTGAGTCAACAATTCCATCCAACAAACACACAGTACACCTCAGAAACCATTACAATGATGACATATAGTGCAATCGTCTCTTTTCTAGGACAGGAGGGATAGGCTCTTTTGTGACAGCCATGTCTATACAATCCCCTACAAGTTAGGAATCTAATACTTGTACTGCCAGTGTGCCTGCTTGGCCAATAACAGGAATATGTGCGGGTGGTGTGTGTACCAGAAATGTTCTTTTCCTTCGTTATTACTCAGAGTTGTCACCGAGGCTAGTTCCGAGCTAATATTAATGCTAATTGCTTTTCTCCAGTATGCCCTCTGACACAGAGAAGTAATAATCAGTGTAAACACCGTAGCAGATGATACACATAACCAATGCTAATTATATTTATTTTGAATTCCTTCTTATTTTTCAAAGGTAAGGCACAACATTTCCTAATCGCAGAAAGATTATCTAAAAGTGATGTATTAGTCACAGCAGCCATGTGTCTGTGGACCGGGGCAGAGTCCTGGCTGCTAGCCCCGCACAGGAGAGTGGTGAGGGGGGTGTTGCTGGTAATAAGGAGAAACCTCGCACACCAGGGAAAACACACAATCTTCATTGGACTGGTTCCAATTTGGATCAATTCTCCAAAAGTCGAAAAGAGATCAGAGATGAGCCCTGTGGTCTGCTGCGGTCGTACCACTATGAGAAGTATACCAGTGAATACAATAAACCCAATCACATCAAGCAGGGAATTCATTTACAGATATCATTATTTTATGACCAGGATCTCCATGACAACATAAAAAAACTGAAAGGATGCGCATTATCCTATTTATTTGTGTCATGTAACAGGTGATCAGATATCTAAGTGGTAGTGTTTTAGGATTCTTGATCAATAGTAATGACTTGTGAATGTGAGGACAGTACTTTAGAAAGCAGAAAGATTATGTTAGGAATAACATTCAAAGTTTAACTTGTGCACTACCAGGCATATTTCACTGAAGACAGGAAGTGTGATGGATCAGGAGTGTTTTAGCAGAAGACAGACAAACTGTAAATTGGCCCTCCAATGTGAGGGTTAACCTCCCGGAAATGTTCTGTCATTTGGTATTAATTAAATGAATTAAAGAAAATGCTCTTACAGGACACCTTATTGATGAATTTAACTTAAATAAATAACTGTTCTAACTATCATTACTAAGGACACAATCCATTATGGAACAAATTAAAGAAGAAAAGACCTAAATAACATAGTGACTAACATTCACTCAGTGGTGTAAATGTTAATGAACTAATTTAAACCTTTAATTGTGTTGTTTTTACTGCATGTCTTGAACACGTAACAATGCAAGCTGTAAGCAATTTGCCCAGGGATGCAAAGGGAGGCCCAAAGCAATAAGGTGGTGTTATTAAGCAGATTGCATCTGTGCAGTATAATCTTACAAAGGGAAGGAGCGAGGCACAGATGCAGCGGACAGAGGATACACAAACAAGCCAAACAGGAAAATGTAATTACTGTTGGAGCAGGAGCTTACCTCTTGAGGGGCATCTCGGACAACTTGTCCCTGCAATTCATAAACACCTGCAGTCTCACATTGACCACTTGACTGAGCACCTGCAGGAGTGACAGAACAAGAGACCCAGTTATAGGAAACAGGATCAGAGGAGAGCCAAGTCCAGCAGAGAGGTGTCAGACACACAATGCCTTTAGCTGAACAAAAAGACTGAAGGCATATTTTAGTTTCACTGACCATTACTCGTACTAAACTGAAATGTAAAGGGTTCTTTAATGTCATGGCACATCACATATTTCACGATACAACAGTGGCCTCGAGCACATTGACCAACCTTCCTTAAAACTAGCCTTAATGCTGATATGCCGTCATCTTCATTTCTCCTGCATACTGCAGTACACTTTTGTGAAGTGTGCGCAGTAAACAACAGCTACTGAATTTGGCTGTCTGTAAAAGCATGGTGAGTCATATTTTCCTATTCAACCAAGTCATTTTCTTCACCACAGCGAGCCTCTTGCAAGATGCAGCAGACAGGGGATGCAGTGAAACTAAGCCTACAACGAAAACAGTTTCTAAGTCATCTTAAATAAGTAAGGATACTTCCTTTAGAAGATAGAGAAAGAATGGGGATTCTATTTTCCGATAAGTTTTGCAGACTCACTAAATGCTTTTGAGCTGTTGAAAGCTTAACTATCTCTGAGCATAGACAATGTGCATTTAAGAGTAAACATGTGGTCATAGCACCAGGTACGGATAGAATGACATAACAATGGTCTGAATCTATTCTTTTGCACCTTGCAAAGCTTTGTGTTTCTGACCCTTCCTTTCAGTGAAAGTGATTTTCAAGTGTCCCTGCTGGATAAGGAATCGGTAGGGAAGACAAATTATCCTCTTTTCAGCTTACAATCAGTAGCGGGGACATCTTCTGTGCCTCCCTAGTGAGGGGGTCAACAATAGCCACAACATCATAGAAGACCTCGTGTTCACGCGGGGAGAGATGGAGCACACTGAGGAGGAGAACAGCACACCAAAGCGGATTCAGCAACACAAGGTTAAACAACCCTTATTCAGCACAACTGCAAATCAAAACATTTGCCAGTTTCTGCACTGCTTGAAATGTTGGCATAGCAATTTTCAAATCTACTATAACAAAAGAAGAGTAAACCCTTCGCTGTGAGACTGCAGAGGCAATAGGACAGTGAACAGAGTTTCCTACCTGTGACTGTCTTTGATGAATTGGACATCCCTCCTGACTTCTCCTTTGGGGGCTGCAGTAAGGAGGGCATCGACTTTCATGACTAAGTCGCTGGCGCTAAGGGAATAAAAGTGTAACAGGGACAGTCCATCATTTATTCACGCTAGGTTTTAGAAGAGTTGTCAAACAGAGCTCACATAATCTGATGCCAAGCTGTTAACAAGGTAGCCTCAAATATATTCAGGCTTCTGTACCTCGACACTGAGAAGCTGATATTGAGTTTATTACAGAACACTTGATACATTTGAAGAGTTACATATGAGAGTGTTGGTGTGGCACAAAGAGAACAAATATCAAAGGTGTCAAGTCACATTATAATTGCCATTTTCGTCCAATAATGCAAGGGCTCAAATGTTGATCGGTGACAGTTAAGACAGATGCAGTTGCCTTCATGCATAAAGACATACAAATACAAACGTACTGCTTGGCTTCAGCCCCATCACTTTCACTTTGTCTTTGACTTTCTCTGCAGAACCACTCAGAGTAATCTTCTGCAGCAACTGGAAGTCCTCCACAGTGAATTCTTCCTGCTCTCCAAATGGACCGAGGATCTAAATGAAGACAATGAGGCAGTCAGAACACCACTTTTACAATTCCTATCCCAGCATGTATTATTAAACACTTGCCAAGGGGAGTTTACATTTAATGCGATTGTAACAGTGTTTTATCCACTTAAAGTCATGCTATTCAGTGATGGTGCCTTTGTTTTCCTCCTTTCTATTTTGGGAGGCTTGCCACTGCAGCAGAGGAATGTGAAATGATATTAATTGTTACAGCCATGGCAGAGGCTGGCCTCTTCATCCGTGGCTGTCAGCCTCACTGCTGCTGAGGCATCAGTCATTAGCTCTGTACACACACACACACACAGTCAGCACATACAGACACTCACACAGACACACACACACGCACAGTGCAGTGTGGGCCACCTGTGACCTTTGAGAAACATTCATGCTGATTTGACAGTACTAAAGAAGCACTCTGAGAACATCCTTAGAGGATCCTGCGCCACTGTACTCAGAAATATTTAACCAACACTTTACCTTACTCTCAAACATATTGTGGTCTGTTCGACTTTTTAGGGAGACATACAGAGATCAATATTTGTGCAATGCTTATTTGAAGCCCACTCACTCTGCCGTTGCTGATCACTGCTCCCTGTCCTGGGCTCAGCTTCAGGACGTCTCGACAAAACAGCTGCTGACTACGAATAAAATCCACTTCCAATGTGTTGAACTTCTTCTCGAAGGCATCGACGTCCATGCCCTAGAGCAGAATAACAAATGTTTGTTTAGAATGTTAGATACATTGATTGCATTGTTGGCTCAGATTTGAATTTGTGATGTGCTGCAAGATCCAATAGACTAGCTCAAGGACCTTTCTCCCTTTACAGCCTGTCCAAAACAACATCCGAGTGATGCATTGGCCTTAGGAGTGATGTATGCGAGGCCAAAATATTATTCACAACATCATTGATGTCTTGCGTCAGCGCACTCACTGCAGTTTCTAAACAAGGACTACTTCAGCCAGGGCTGAGCTGTCAGAAATGCATATGTGTGAAAATGAGATTAATCAATTTGTAATTAATATAACAAACGCTTAATTAAGCCTCTGCCATATTTGTCCATAACAAATTAGGTGTGGGAGTGTGGCTGGTTTGTGGAGTCAGGTTATTAGTTTCTCCCACATCCCTCCTCAGGAGAACAGGTGAAATACCAATAACGTCAGCACAATCCAGTCAGCAAGTCTGTCTGGCAGCCAATAATAAACTCACATCCCTCGACTCTGGGTCTCAACTCACACAGCCACCTCCTACCCATCTTTTCATTGCTATTTCCAGCCTATTCTCTCCCCATTGTTTACGGCTGGTATAATTGAAGGCCAGTTTGTTATGGTTGGTCCCAGATGTAACCTGTGCTGTATGACTTATTCCTGATGGAAGAGATGGGAGCACTCCTGTCAGCTGATTTGTTGATTAGAGCATGAGAATTTGTTTTCTTGTGTGTAAAGCTGTGTGGGTGGATACTGCACACTAGAGCATGGAGAAAAGTAGTGGCTGTAGACTGCTCACAGCGGCAGAGTGATGGTCAGGCTTGGCTGAACACATGTGACTTTACACAGGCCTGAACGGTGAACAGGAGCTCGGCTATTCATCAGGTCCGGAGACCAGGTATCCACCGGCACTTTATATGAAAGACTCAGCATGTGGAGCCCGTCTTGTACTGGCCTTGTGACAGACCAAGTGGAACTGAGTGGCATCCACAGGCTGTGGAGCGTTGTGCGTGCCCTAAATGTATTCTGTTAGCTGATGTTCAGGAGGGGAACGAGAAGATGGGCTCATCAATCACCATTTCCCCTGACTGTGCATTTGAATCAAGAAAGCAGTGGCAGTTGAATCTCTGTTAAGTGGATATATCCAACCTTTGTTTTCCTCATTTTTGTCATTATGCTCATCAATTCTGCTTTAAAAAGGTTATCAATTATCAGTGTCCAATCAAATACTTCCCATTTTGCAGAGATACACCATTCACTTAAAAACATCTAATCAAAAATATTTGATTTCTAATTGTACACACAGTAACACCGGTGTTGTAGTCCTGCATATCTTTTAGGGTTGGATGATACAGCTCTATGTACAATAACTCAATGTGAATGTATTGGCGGTCGGAGCTTACTGTTTATATTTGTGTAGCTATCGCTTTCATATCTCTGGTTGTATTAGTCCGTGACAGGCAATGTTGCAAATCAATGAGCAGGACTGTTTTATGGCGCCATTGGATTTATAGGACTGTGCAGCAATGTGATGAAGTACCTCAGGTACTCTACTTCTCACACTGGTTTATTCTAAAACAGATATTTACATGTGGTTTCGTTTATAAATTGTTTATATATTGTTTATATATTGAATTTCTAGAAAATGAGCTACCAAAAAATATATCAATATGGTAATTTTAAATTGCACGTACAACAGCAGATCTTTATCGCCCACACCACGCCCCTCATATCTATAAATAACGTGATGGTATCTCACTTGTCAAATTGATACATTTTGAGTAGTTTGATTTTTTTCGCCACCTACGCTAAAAGGCCTTCATGTGTTTAACAAAGCAGGTAATTTTCTAAGTCAGCCTCGACCATTAGCATGACAGCATCAGAACATTTCTGTATACCTGTATGACCTAAATAAACATTACAGCATATTGTGGTGGCAGGGATGAGAAATATCTCATTTGCCGATATCCTTCTTACACGAAGAGTGAGAACATTTCAGTCAGGAGGCAGATCACACATGCTCCAAACCCAGCATGGATGTGTCATCTTGGTTATGCTACTTGCTAATAAAGTAAGTTCACACAGGTTAAAATAACACTCCATAATAATTACACCACAATGTGCTCATGTTGCCCAGAATAAATATCTCGGAAAATGTAAGCATAACCTCATAGCAGTGTGATTGTGAATGCGTAGATATGTGTGATCAGACGCCATTCGGAAATGATTTTCAGGGTTTGGCTTTTCTTTTTGTCCAGAAGGTCTTACCAAATTTGAATTACGTTAATACAGATGTATATCAATATAATGAGATATTTCACTCAGACCATTAAAGATTTAGAGTGTTGGTGCCAACAGTATACCATAACAGAACTTTGTTTGATACCTCTGTGATTTTAAAAACATTTTTGTTTTCCGTTACAAAACCTGCTCTCTTTAAAGAGAAGCCACAGGAACTTTGGTAAAATAAAGTCTAAACGTGGTAATGCTTTGATTTAAATTACTAAGTTATTCTTTCCCAAGTAAGAAACTACTTGTGAAATAATAAGAAAACCATTCATAGCTATGAATGTCATGACATTTGATGTAATGGCAAACAATACACAATCTGAACGGATTCCATGTAATTGAAATATATAAGGCACATTAAATATCTGGAATCATATATCTCTGATCTGACGAAACGGAGATAAGTGCATTCCTGAATCAATCCTTTACCTGCGTCAGTAGGTCCTTTATCTTGGACCCCTGTTGGAGGAGCTGGCTGCTCTCGTCTTTCACAAGTTGTTGCACAAACTCTGCAGCAGCCTTGTTCTTCTGGGTGAGGAGAGAGGCCCAGATAGCCCGGTACAGCACGCTGTTATCTTCGCTGGGCTTTGCGCTGGGGTTATCTATCACCCCCACTCGCACTCCAGGGCTGGCCTTCTACACACACACACACACACACACACACACACACACACCACACACACACACACACACACCACACACACACACACACACACATCACACACACACACACACACACACACACACACACACACCACACACACACACACACACACACACACACACACACACACACACACACACACACACACACACACACACACACACACACACACACACACACACACACACACACACACACACACACACACACACACACACACACACACACACACACACACACACACACACACACACACACACAACACACACACACACACCACACACACACACACACACACACACACACACACACACACACACACACACACACACACACACACACACACACACACACAATTCAGAAAAATATCACAGATTCCCTTATTTTCTCAGTCCCCAGGTGTCACTGACTGAGAACTCTGGGAGGAGAGGGGGCTGATTTCTTAAAAGTAACCGTAAAGGCTTCTCCTGGTCTGCTTATTTTATCAGCAAGGAATCTTTTTTCACGATAAAAGAAAAATGCCTTTAAACTTATTTCATCCATAGTGTGTCAACAAGTGAATAGTTCATTGTAGAAGCATCTGTATTGATGACTTTTGAGAGTAATGTATTTTCAAGGAAAATGTCCCTATTTGTAGGTCATAAAGCTCTGCACTAAGCAGTTCACAAAAAATACAAATGCACTTTATCTCTCCTGCTTGTAAGTGAGGTTTAGATGTGCAGTTTTGTCACATCAAAATTGGTGTCAAAGAAGGACCAATGTGAAAAAGGTTATTGATTGAGTTAAATTAGATTAAGGCCTGTAATATATTGTCAAAACTTAATTACAAAAAATGTTTCATTAGTAATGTAAATTGATTTCACTCCAATAATATCAGTATTTATGCTTTCAAACGCACAACAACCGACATATAACACATATGTATGTACGGTGTGTCAATGTGTGACTTCCCAAGTGGTCCCTATTGGAAAGTTAATGATTGGTTGAAAGAATGAGGATCAGCCATGTGTCTTACACCACTCTCGCAATTGTTTTACGCTCAGTGTCCGTAAGAGAATTGCTTCTCAACTTATTCTTCCGATTGTGGACTATTGTGATGTTGTCTACCAAAATGCACATAAATCAGATCTTGCTCTTCTCAACATAGCCTACAATAGACTATGCAGATTTGTTCTTGGTTGTCCTTTTCGTACACATCACTGCACAATGTATAACCAACTTAAATGGCCTTCATTAAGTGTAAGAAGACACACGCATTGGCTTCAGCTGATATTTAAATGCATTTATCTTAACTATCCCCCTTATTTAAAGCAGTATTTTGTACCCTACTCACCAATACATCAAGTTAGACATTCTGTTCAGATTTATTTCTCTGTCCCCTCTGCCTCTATTGGCAGAAGAGCGTTCATTTTCAAAGCCCCAACAGACTGGAATACTTTACCTGCTGCTATTAGATCTCTTGCATCATTGGGTACGTTTAAACATGCATTATCATCTCACTTTCAACTGCTCTGCACTTGTTATTAATGAAACTGTTATTGATGAAACTGATCGGCTCGACTGTCTCTCAAATTGTAATGATTGTATGTATTGCTTCAATTTTACTAAACAGACTGTACGTGGTTTGTCTTGTTTTGCTTTTTGTCTTTTTGTTTATGTATGTCTGTAAGTTCTTGCTATTGTCGGTACCCCCTTGAAAACGAGATGGTGCATCTCAAGGGGTTTATCCCAATAAATAAAATGTCTATATATATATATGATACTCACCATATGTTTTAGAGCATTTAATAACAGTTTTCTTCCTGAGATCTCCTCAAAATCTCCGACTATCCACATGGTCACAGCACTCATCCCGTCCTCATCTAGGGTAAAAGAGAAAAACACAAAGTGTGCGGAAATATAATCATATAATGCAAATAAATGACCTTAGGAAAAGCAGCAGTTAAACAGAAAAAGTGTTTAGCCTCAGGGTTAGGGCAAACAGATCTGTTCAGCATAGATACTGGAAGCTGCTTCTTAGGGTTAGCTCATGATGATGAGAATCCGATAGGAAAGTGAGAGGGGGAATTAGGAATGTTCAGTTTGTTTTGTAGGTGAGAGGGACTGAGGCATGTGGCAGAGAGCTCAGTGTATGAGTGGAGAAGTGTGCCACCTGTCACAGTTATCACCCCCCCCCAGTCAGTGAGTCAGTCAGTCAGTCAGAAAAGCAATCAGCCGATCAGCTAGTCCACAGAGGAAGATGGCAATCAGCCTCCTCATCCTCACTGAGACAGCCACACTGCAGGCCTGAGCAGTGAAATGCAGCTCTGACCGTTTAGTGTCGGCCCACAGCCAGTCAGCAGACCCAGCAATTACCTTACTGGAGGCGCAGCCTGCTTTTACAAAGGTCAATTTCACACGTTCATAGATCAGTAGAGCCGTGAAGGATTACTTCTTGTTCAGATAATGCTTATTTTACAGAAATCAACATGTAAATGAAGAGTGGTTGGTCCACAGAGGAAAGAATTAAGATGCTTGAATTAGTGATTTGGATTGTTGCAAGTCATTGTGGAAATTAAATCACGTGTTTTCATCTGCAAGAGTTAATTAGGAGCCAAGATGTAAAACAAAAAGCAACTTCTTACCGTTATTTGTAAAGTACTTCATTCTCTTGGCCACCACTGCCGTTTTGTCTCTGGAGTCGTAGTATGAAAACATAGTGGTGTCCTCCCATTCATCGACAACTGCAAAGCAAGAAAGTGGAGGAGTTGGGAGTGTTAGGAGGAAATGAGAGGAACCTAGGCATGGAATCAATAATAAATAGTTTAGGATGTTTAGCACAGGTCACCTGGCTTGGCAGTGAAGTCGAGGTATTTCCGGTCAGTGCTTAGAATAAGAGGGTTCATCCTGGGAACCACGTTGGCCTGCTCCATTAGATAGTCCACCACATCTGAGCCCTCAGTCAACTGACCCTGTAGCAAGAGAACATCAATCCATACATTCATACTGGATCTTGCCCGTGCCGTACTTCTAAAAAGTTAACAGTGATGCACGCGTCTGCTAAAGCCGTAATGTTGAGGGCTAGGAAGGAAAACGTATAAACTATAACTGTAAAACTGCAAATTACAATGTTTAAAGATGTACCCAATTATGTTTAGCACACAGGATGAGCTCTGTTTTATTACATATTCTGCAATAGACCTCTCTAATAGAAATTCCTGGCAATAATAATAATAGATTAGATTTGTATAGCGCCTTTCAAGGGACCCAAGGCCGCTTTACATGGTGAACAAACAAACAAACAAAAGGGGCAAATAAATAAGACATATATTACTTGTATGCAAACTATAGACAAACTACTAATGGTGCACTTATCTAGGGTTTCTCTACTTCATTTCACTAATACTGTGTATCATGTTCTATATTTATCTAAATGTTCTACTGCTGGCTCAGAAAGATGTAGGTCTGGCAGGTGGAACATGAAGCGTGAGTCACTTTCTGTACAGATTCTGTCGAAGATTTAGTGTGGTACCATAAAGACAGCTCTCTGGAAGGCGTTGGTGGTGTCCATGATGCGCTGCAGGATAATGGTCTCCAGCTCCTCTGGATCCATCTCGTCGGGGCTCAAGGGGACTCCATTAAATAAAGCCAACGGTAGGGCACCGAGGCCACTCCTTTTGTAGAACAAGGCACCCTCCTGGAGCACACAAATCAATCATTACATCTTTGGCTGCGCCTGATTATTAATTTTGATTAATTCTTACAACCAGTTAATGTAAAGAGACAAGAAGGAGAGCTCATTTCTGTATCCTTACCTTTCTTTTGTCATCATACTCAGATTCTACACTGAGAATCCTTTCAGCGTCGGTTTTAGGGAATTTTCTCTTGAGGTAATCAGAGATTGTGTCAACGGACAGCGTCTCCCCGACATCTACTTTGTTGTACAACTGTAGGAGAGTGGAAAGTCAGATCGAGTTCACCGTCTCAGACACCTGGAACTGTCAATAGTTCCAAACAGTGGCTATTTCAAAGAGATGTTACCAGAGGCAAAATCCAACTGACTCATCTATCTCATCAATAATGTCTCAAACCATGGGAACACAAGGCACAATAACATAACTGACTTCGGAGGCACGAAGAGATTTGAACTGGCGTGGAGTTTGCATAGATTAGATGTTGTTAAAAAACTGCTTTCTAAAACAATACAAATGTAGACATGTGATATACTTACTGAGACCATGGATATCAGAGCCTGGGATAAATCATACTCGTCTGCGATGTAGTTCAGCAGTCTGTAAAATCCAACCCCTGCATCTGAGGCGCCATCAATCTCATCCTCGGTGTTGACGACAAACACAAATCCAATTCTACAGGAGAGGGGGGGGCACACAACAAGTTTTCAATTTGCAGGTGAAATGAGAATCACTACCTGGTTAAGGTTATAAATGCTAAGGGTGGACCATATACACAGCTGTGGAGATGCGAGAAATAACAGCACCAACCTCAGTGGGATCTTATGCTTGTAGAAAAGCTCTGATAGTTTCACCAGCTCAACACTTTCTTCCCGTACCGGATCTAGGAACAGCACCTAAAATCAGAGGCATCGTCAAATCTGAATCATGATACCTTTCCATACGACCTTTATTCAACTCGCATCATAAATGAATAAGAGTTGAGCAGACACAACAAAACACAGTTTGGATAATACACATGTTAGGCATTCAAAATGTACTCAGCATTCCATTTCTCTGGATGTACTAACTGGAATGTTAGGATTGCAAGAAGAAACCCACGATTACATTTTCTGTATTGACCTTGTCTAGCAGAAAAGAGTCGGAAGCATCTGAAGAGTTTTACAGTTTCAATACAATGGAGACCTTTCTCAATTCCACACTCTTTATCGCCACTACCCTGCAGCATTTCTAGCCATCAGGGGACTCACCAGGTTGAAGAAATTGCGTCTGATCTGCCGGATGACTCCTGGAAAAGTGGCTCTGAGGAGCTCCTGAACGCCTCGCGGCCAGCTGTGGTAGGGAGGGTCGTTCTCTATGTCGTTTATCCACTGGAAAGGGCATGAAGATAGACGGAATGTGTGAACATGTGATATTCCTCAGTTAAATACAAGTAACAGATCAGCAAGAGTAGAAATATCTCTGAATGATGTTTTTCTACATTGTGCTTACATTTCTCAAATGGTTATAATAATACATTTCATTTATATAGCGCACACCTGGTGCTCAATGCGCTTTTGTGACATTGTACCTATCAAATAAATCTAAATACTAGCTTTTTTATCTGGGTTTTTAACATCCGCATGAAGACAGACTGTTGAGGAACCTGCGATCTAAGTTTTTCATACGTAACATAATTACACCGTCGTGTCATAAACCTTTGAATATTGAATGACACAACTTCAGACACACAAGAATACTTAGCGTTCTCTGAAAACAAATGTGTCAGTATATAAATACTTGGTATGCTTTTGTTTGACCTAGTACTCTGTATCTGCAACCTCCGGCAGCAAGATATGAATTTCCAACAGCAGGTTCACCCTGTGGTGATAAGCATACCCTGTTATTTGTCTAAAGCACCAAGATATCGAACAGGTTACTTTTCTAATATTCCCTTTCCTGCTTTACACCTGTGATATTAAACCACAATGTACATAGTCAATTCAATGTGACCTTTTTCAGACACATAAGTCTCTAATAGTATAAATAAATCAAATAAATACAATGCAAGGACAGAGTAACCTCTTCTCAATATACAGGTAACTGCATGCATGTAAACAACGCTCTTGCATTACAGTGAACAGTTTGGTGGACAGAATTTAACATGTACACTTGTTTCAAGCTCTTCTTCAGTAGTAAGGTATTACATTTGGCTCTTTATGATAAATGACTATAATGATAGTTGCAAAACGATCCATCATTTCCAAACTGGCACCAACAGTGGTTTTCCTCTCTGTAACTTTGGGTATAAGCCTCCCCACGGTGCAAACGTTTGCCTCTCTGGCACACTATCCTTAGCTCTCTAACTCTGTGTGTGTGTGTGGGTGTGTGTGTGTGTGTGTGTGTGTGTGTGTGTGTGTGTGTGTGTGTGTGTGTGTGTGTGTGTGTGTGTGTGTGTGTGTGTGTGTGTGTGTGTGTGTGTGTGTCTTTCTTAACAACCTAATGTTACACACTCTCCATACCTAGAAGGGGAGACAAAAGCTTAACCGACAGACCTCTTGGTTGAATATGGCAATGCTTAAAAATGTAATTTCTCTGCCCTTTTTCTAGTTCAGGGAATATTAAAATAGCCAGAGGAGCTAAAATGAAAGTCTTTAATTAGATAGCTTTTCTTGGCTGAATCTCCAATTTAATACCTGGAGTTTCTGACAGGGTGGAGACTGCTGCAGTAGCCTGATGACTGATTCACACACTGGTAAAAAGAACAAAAAGCCCCTACAGTGTGGAGGTGGGCCAGAAGAATAATGCTTTTGGACAGGACTCACCATTATAGCTGGATCTCTGATATCTAAGGCATAACTGTCATCCACAGCGTTCACAGGTAACCTCAGCAGCTTGCCCTGATGTTCTCCTTTAATGCCCAGGTTATGAAGCCCCTCCAGGACCCTGGCCTCTCCTCTGAGGATGTCTAAAATGCTGTAAAAAAAAAATCCACAAGTTAGTTTTTCTTTTTCATACAAATTAGCAGTGAGGTTTTGCGGTGCACTAAACTTTGATCTTGTTGCAACAGGATTACTGAGGCAGAGCAAAGGTCTGCGGCTCCCTGGGGAGAGCAGAGACAGACCTGCTCCCCCCTGCTGTGTTCCTACCTGAAAGGGTTATGAACGTCCAGATCAATGTGCAGTCCGTTGATGAAGAGCTCCCCGTCTCCCGGGTGAACACCAACGGTCTCACCAAGACGCTGAAAGAAAAAGCTCAACGTTTTTAGTCGAATGCCAAAACCCTTTCTACCTTTAATGTCTGATGTTTCCACAAGAAAATAGGTGCAGAGGATAAAGCTGTATTTACAAGGAATTAAATGTCCGTTAAGAAGAAGGGGGAAGATAAAATGTCACATCTGATGTTGTTTAACACAGATTAGTAACTCATAGTTAACATAAAACGTGTACAATGGCCAAGGATGTTCTCCAAGACAGCCTCCTGCACTGTAATGTGGAAACACGGCTTGTTATAGCGCACCTTTTGGTTCTCCTCAATTTCTTTTCTCATTTCCTGCTTTACGGCCACTCTTGTCAGTGATCTGTGGGAACAGTAAAACATGTACAGTCACCATCAGCTTTTACCACATCCCAAGCTGGCAATAAAATGCCAATTTTAATCTTCAAAAATCTGTCGGCTCTCAAGATGGTCAATTCCCTATAAACACCTGACTCTTACTCAGCACTTTTTGGAGTTATTACAAACTGCCAGAGCCAAAATAAGCAAACATCAACAAGCTGATTCCATCTCTGTATGTGAGTTGTATTTATTGTGGATAATGCTCAAATGAATGGTTTAATAGAAGACATATTTCATGTGCACATTAATAACAGCGTCTGTTGTGCCTCCATTCACACATTGGAACACAGAGTAGGCTCCGAACAATATGGATTTTGGAATGGTCCCAAATGTGTTATCCAGTCGGCCAGAAAGAGAAAATCAGATGAACTTTCAGACCTGGCTTTGCTTGGGAAGTTCTGACTGAGGTCTCGCATGAGCTTCAGAGCATCGTACTTTGGCACGGACAGGATTCTGGCAGCTGCCTGGACACTCAGATCTGTGGAGATTAGGGATGTTAAGATTCACCGATTTGCATCGGTGCACCGGCATAAACGTTCAAGATGCGAGTGCACCGGTTGAAAGAGTGCACATCGGCTACAGTTTGGGTTGAACTCGCGATGCATCGATTGTAGCGTCTTTGCATCGGTAAAAAAACAATTCATTCATATCATATCCTCTCATCCTGTCAGCACTCTGCAGAGACGATCTTTGATCTTTGATTCGCACTACGGGGGCCGAGAGTCTCAGTTATCAACACACATGGAAGTCGAGGTGAAAGAGAAACACAGCGCACCGAAAAATACCAACAAATCAAACGTTTGGCAACACTTCGGATTTTTCAAGAAAGACGGTCAACTTGAAAATCGCTCGCAAATTGTAAACGATGCCGTGCCGCTTTAAAGTACACAAGTAGTACGAGGAACTTAGCGACGCATATAGAGAGGCGACATGGGGTCTGCGGCTGAAAAGAGAAACCTGAAAGTTAGACTATGAGTTAAATCACTCAGTGAGGTGTTCTGTCAGAGCAGCCTGTGACGGCCAATAACAGTTGAAATGTCTTCCTTACTGTAAGCAGTTATTAAATACCTGTTTGTGAAAGGTTATTTTGTATTGTTCGTATAGAAACCACTGCTTTCTGCTCACTGGTGAGTTAGCCTATGAATGAGTGTTAAGCACATCAGGCTGTGTGGGCATTGCACTATGGTAGTTGTTATTTGCACATTGTTAATCATGGGCAATACATCCTTACATTGTTTAAATGTGAGGTGTTACACAATTGTACTTTACTCTGGAGAGGTTTTTAAGGTAAAAAAGGTAAAAAAAGAAACAGCATAAAGGGATGTGCAGTACTAGTAGAGAGCACCAAATATGTAAAGCACTTTTTTGTTAATGTATGATTTGCTGCATATAAGGAATAAAACTAAAATCCTCTGTCGTACCATATTGAAGTATCATTATTTTTGCATCGTGTTGAATCGCATCGTATCGCCCCATATCGCATAATGTTGAATCGAACTGTATCGTAACAGGGGTGAATCGTATCGTATCGCATCGCCTGGTGTTTCAAATGTATCGTTAATGTATCGTGTCGTGACAACGTATCGAGATGCGCATCGCATCGGCCTCAGTGATGGAGATGCACATCCCTAGTGGAGATCAATCAATTCATCAACATTTACAAATGCACATTAGGTTCAAACAAATGAAACATATGAAATGGAAATGTCACTCCATATATGCAGTGTTCAGTCGAAGAAAATAACACACAATATAAATAATCTCCAGTCAACAATAGCATTATAATATGCAGCAAATCTAAAACAAACTAATTAACATTGGATTAATTCATATGCATTCCAAATGTATATATTTTTTTCTTTTTATGAGCCCTGAAAAACTCAAACAGAAAATAGATACCTTGCATTTCCCACACTTTGAGAGGAACCATGTCGTTGGTACTCTCCAGGAGATGTTTTCGAAGCTCGACAAGATTCTCCTGGAGTTCAGGGTGAGATTTCCTTAAGAGAGGAAAAACAAAAAAGGAAGAGACATATACAAATATGTTTTCATCATTAAGTCACCAAAAGCACATTCAAATACTAGAAAGTGCAATAGAGACAAATTATTTGGGGTAAAATGACATGTTCCACTTTAACAACTCACTTTAACGTTCCAAAGACGAACCCTTGGACTTCATCTGTATTATCATCCTCTGCGTTTACAAGTGAATCTACAAAGCACAAGATGTTAGTTGTGTTGCCGTGGACTCAGCTGAGTCCAGCACAGAATGTTTGATAAGTCACAAACTGACCTTTTACTTTGGTGTCATCCACAGCTTTGTATTCAGTGCTTTTGATAGCCAGCTCAACAGCGTACCCAGATAAAAGCATCTTTTGAGGCTTTGGATTCTGCGAGCAGCGGGAAGCGGAGAAAAGGCTTTAATGAAAAGAGTTCTGTTTACATGCTTTCTGTCAAAAGTACTATGATAATAGACTGCAGACACATCCCATGGGAAATGCTGTCTGCCTATACCTATATACAATTGAATAAAAACATTATGTAAACAGCTGTTCTTATTAGTGGGTTTAGCTGGCAGGCAAATCAAATCAAGCATACAGACATGATCTCCATTCACAGACATTGGGAGTGGAGTAGGTAACAGTAAAGATACTTTCAAAGAGGCACTGTGATAAGATTTCTTCTTTAATAAGATAATTACATTGGTGGTCTGCTAGATATTGCCAGAGTACGCTGTAAGTGCTGTTATTGTGAAACAGAAATGCCTACAGCAGTAGGTTGAATGCTGACGCACAAAAATTGGCTTTACTTGAAAGTTGCAGCAGCCACTACAGATTTCCAAAATGCCTCCTAAAGCAACGTCAGCACATGATCAGTTTAGTGGGCATAGGTGCAGGAGCCCACCTAAACAAAACGCCATGTGTTGAACTGAAGGAGAAGCTTATCATACTATAAAGCAGCTGTGGATAGCTTTTGCTGTAAGACCCTTGCACACTAATGTATAAACCGATGCAGACTTTTACTGACTTTTCTGCTTTAACCACATTACATATTATTCTTTGCCAATTTGGTCAATAGGTCGATTTAAATAACATAGATTAGGCATGTATCCGTTGCTGGCTAATGTTTCTAAACCACTGTTAGTAAGGGTTATGAATGTACAGATCCAACTTGCCACTTGCCTTCAAAACGAGCCAGTACTTAATCGTACTTCAAGACTTAAACAAATAGCGCTCCACCCCTGTTAGTCAGAACTGATAAGGGTCTCTATGGCTAAACAGCAGCACACATGCCAAACACCACGATTAGCAATGCAAGAGTCAGCTTGTGCTGTATAAAGCACACCATTATTGGACTCTGGTGGAATTTAGAAACGTTGATCTGGAGCAACCACACAGCTTGTTGTGGAGGACTAATGTTCTTAGATAGGGTTTTATTGTTTGGGCTCGACTTATTCCAATTAAGAAAAGAGTTAACCCTTGACTGCCTTGCACAGAGCCCTGACCTGAACCCCATCAGAAACCTTTCAGAACCCTGGATTTAAATCAGACTTTATCATCAAACATCAGTGCCAAGTGTATTGCTGTAATATCCAGGATATTTTGGTCATTGTATAGCTATAGATGATGGACCAACTGTTAACCCTTGTTAACCAGGAGTCTTTTCTGCTACACAGTCATTAAAAGTTATTTTAATCCAATTTTCCAGTGGGAACAAGAAAAACACGGGCCCCATATACTGTACAGAAGAAATATTGACCCACATTGAACCTTGACACTGAAATTCAAAGCACTGCATCATGCTTTCTTATGCCGTTCACACCAGCGACGTGCAGTCAGGGGAGGCAGGGGAGCATCACCTGTCATACTCCAATGTAACGGAAAAACAACTAAATAGTAATAATAATAAAATGTCTCCACTGATCTGTGTTGTAAATGTGATTTATGTTTGATTCCAATCGCTTTTTATAGTTAAAATCAGCAAATTGGCCGAGCTCCGCTACAACTACGGGTAGCGATGAGGAGTGAGGCAGGGACGAGCTCTCCCTCACGTAAGCCCACAGTAACTGGCTGGAGCGCGGGCACTAATTTAACGCGGGCACTTATTTTGTGAGCGTGCTCAAGCCACTTACTGTGGGGTAAGGTGAGGCACAGATGAGATCTGCCTCACCTCAGAATGCGTCACCCCACAGAAACTGTCTAGAAAGCGGGCCCTAAGCGCATGCCTGCACCATCTCACTGTAGGTCACCAATGTAATGTTTGTAGATCCCTTTATTACATGTGTCCTCGTCATCCATAGTCTCTAAATAACTTATTTCACGTGTATATGATATTTAGGCTCGCCGGTCTCATCATACAACGGCAATGAAAAAAGCACCAGGGGAGGCAGCCATAACCTCTGCCGCACTGAAGGGGGCGCAAGTGAGCCCACAGGTTCTTGTTGCTTCTGTTATTCTACGTAGAGACGGGGTAGACCATGGCGGTAGACGCGACGCAAACAACAAACTAGACTTTTGAAACTAGAGGAAGATAAGGAGGACTTTTACAAAAAAGTAATAGAGATTGTTGTCCAGAAGAAAAGCATGGACTTCATCTTCAAGTCAAGGTAAGACCCCAATTGTAATGAAAATGGGATCTTACTAAGAAAGAACAATCCAATATTTAGATTTTGGGTATCCTTTTGTTGAAAGGTCTGTTTAAAATGAATCGAAGCATCAGACTAAAAAAGCTTTTAAAAATAACCGAATATTTAGATTATGTTCAAAATATGATATTTGTAAATCTGACTCTGAAAGAGTCAGTGCCTCACCAGCCATGAACCTCACCGCACGTCACTGGTTCACACCCACGCTGCTTTTTCAACAACATCTTAAACACCTTTCATTCCTTCAAAGACATTTGTATCCGTTACTTTTTGAGGAATCGACTGTTGCAAAAATGCCATTAAAGTAAAGATAAAACAGAAGGGTCTTATGGCAAAGAGGAATGAGCTATATTTAGCTTTGGCTGTGCAGGCAATACTTGTAAGCAAGATCAATTAATTGGTAGTTGTGATACTTTAATTTACTTTGTTGATAATCAGAAAGAAAATGAATATCACAAGCCTTATCCTTTTTTTCAAATTATGATGACGAGATGCATGTTTTCACTGTTACTAACAGGAATCATAATATTGAATCAGTGGATAGATTGCTACTCACCACTACGAAATGCCGCAGCACGTATACGAGCGTTCCCTCTGCAGCCCTCTCCGACAGCACCTTGTGAAACAAGGTGAACTTCTTGGTTCCAATCTCAGCGTAGAGGATAACCACTGGCACTTCTGTGGTATTGACTCCTGGATATGTGTGGTCATTCTTGTATAAATGTGGTATGGGCCTGCAAACATTTTAAAAATATTATTAAAGACGTTTCATGAATACAATTATTATGTTTCTTACAGAAGAAAATAAAGTCAGTAAAGCAACACTCGTATAAAAATGTACTGTGAAACTATTCATATGCGTCTGTTATACAGATAGAGTTTATCGACAGAGTGCCCGTGCATTCAGTGTTACCTGCCTGCAGCTGCCTTCAGGAGCTTCTTGATGTCCTTGGTGCTGCAGCTATGCTGACCATGAATGGAGACAAAGGCAGGGCACGCCTCAGGCGGAGGCTCATCACTGGCTATCTGTAAAAGAGCGTGTAGGAGTGAAGGAATGATCCATAACACACAAACAACAACATGACCCTGCTAGGGTCTAGCATCTACCCCTCACTCTTTAAAATGGGCCAAACTGAATCACAGCTAAATTGATTTATTTATCCTCGATATTCTTAATCCCACTTCATTTCAGCAACAAAAGACTATTATACATTCAAGTGCTGAACATCTTTTCAGATTAGAGAAATTCATCAACCAGTGCATTGCTGTCACCAAAATGAAATGACTCCTCATCTTTGCTGAAGCTGCAATGTATAGGCTAAGGAACTGTGAACACAGTGTGCTTACATTTCATTAAGAGTCACCCAGTATTATCATCAAATGAAAGCTTTAGCGCAAGTTCAATAAGGAAGACCTAACAATGAGTCACTTACACGTCACTCTATTGCTCTCTCCCCCCTCATTAAATGCGTGGGCGTCACCCCTCAGCAGCCAATTGCTGCACACGTTAAATTCCTTAAATGCCTGCTCTTCCTTCCTGTCAGTTGTCATTTCAGGTGACCATACACAACCCTCCTCCACCCCTCTCGCCTCCCGTCTCCTCCAGGACAAAGCTAAACCTTCCTCCTTCAGACCGGTCCCACCTACTTATCACCACCACCAGTGTCTAGATCCCGGGGATTTCATCGGAGCGGTTCTTTCCCTCCTGAATGATTATCCTGCAAACCGGGGCCTAATCGCCAAACACCATTACATTCTCCTGTTGTATTATCATGGCAATCATTTCATTCATATGACGTGTAACAATAAATATGTATTCCATATATCACGTCTCTCCGAGTTGAACTATAGTTCACAGCCACTTACTGAGTCATATATTTAAAACTAATGTCATTTAAATAAAGAATTTTGAAATAATAAAGTAGAGGTTTTCACTACCATTAATTCAATGAAATGTGTCAAAGAAATTGATAAACACTGTAAGTAAGGCCTGCAGAGCTACCTTTGTCAATAATTGGTTAGACGGACAATATAACAAGCGCTAAAGAAGTGGAGCTGGCTCACTGTAATGTTACGATGCAGCTCTAGAGAGAGTTATGAAATAATGATACTATTGTAATTACAACATACCTGCTGGGATGCATGAACAGCTGGTGAGTACGACCGTAGGGACATAGCGAATTTGAGGAGATTAACTTGAAGATCTGTGAGGAACTGGCCAGCCTTCTTAATGATCAAGTTGTAGTACGACCGCACAGACTCTGAGACACAATTTAGAAATAATTAGTTGTTGTTTTTTTAAGAGAAGCAGACCTCTCAGGAGTATCAAAAATTAAAATCAATTTGGGATTTACACAACATACCTCCTTGCTTGTACACGGTGAGCTCTTTCACTGTGTCAACAAACTGCCAGAATTTCTCATTCCCATCTTCTGCAATAAACTCACTGCAAAGGAGCATATTAGTTAGCATTATTCAGTAACCACAGTATGGACTTAAGTAACCATTTTCTGTCTGCCACATAATCTTTTTTATATTTTAAGATAATAAGTCGGCCATTACAGGCATGACCAATATTTTTAGTAACACCATAAAAGGAGAATTTGAAATATATGAACAACTTTTGGCTGCTATTTAAGCTCATTATGTATGAAAATCTAAGATATAATTAGCTAAAACTGCACTTTATTACACAATTGACTTTAGATTTAAGATTATCTTTCCCCCCCAATACATTTTCAAGTTTGTTAAGTTTGCTCAGCTTCTCTGAAAACTTAGGAGGGTGAAGTATGATGACTAAAATCCTTTATTCAGTAAAAACATATAGTTAAAACAATTAAGTTCTAAAAAAAAGTGTTAAAAATGTGTTGAATCTTGATAAAAAAGTAAATGTATGACAGCTTCTGGCCGACAACCATAATGTGCAAAGGGGACAACGCCATAACGAGAGATCAATTGAATAAATTGACACATTTCTCTAGGTTTTAAACTTGTTGGAAACATTTGGGTTAGCGCAAGTACACATATATTAACACAACATAGGTTTAGATGTTTGAGACATATCAATGCTGAAATGTTACATAATGATATCTTCAACTAAACAAATACATATTTTAAGAGGTATAAAAGATGCAATTAGGGGGCTTTGGCCTAGTGATCCCAACCCTGAGATCCTGGCTGTAGGTCTCTGAGTGCAGCATGATGTGGAGGGGTGAGTACCTTGTTTCCAACAGGAAAGGCGTCATGCTCCACTTTGCTCTAAGACTGGCAGTGACACCTTTGGGTGCCGATGTGACATGATGTATATTCAGCAGCAGCGGCAGCAGCAGGGACAGCACAATAACGTTCCTCATTTTCTCTGGAGAGACGTAACATGAACCTAAAGTGGCAGAAAGCAAACACCAGCGTCGTCAGTAGAGGTTAACCTTAGACAGTTATTTTTGCCTTTTGAGAAGTGCCAGTCAGTGCCACGTAGTTACTCTACTATGTTATTAAGTTAACAAGAAACACCGGTGTACGTAGACTTGTATCAAAGCCCTCCAACATGATACACAATCAGTACATGGTTGCGGAATATGCTAGCTACATGTGAAAATAGCATTGACCTGTATTTCTAACTAGACCTTACTCCTTACTACTACTAAAATAACGTACGTGCAATTGGGTAAGACCGACTGAAGTTAGCTGTAGCATAAAAGTAAACAGCCTGTCGTGAATGAAAACGTTATACTACCGGGATTTAGAGACTACAAAGATCACCTACTACAAAGCTGTGTACAATAAAATACATAACCATTAGTAGGCTGTGTTGCAAATATCATATTCCTCACCCCGTTAGCGATGCTGGCCACTTTCTTCCATACAAAGCCAGCTTCATTTATTTGGGGCAGCGAACAGCACAGCTAGCTAACTTATTTGCCAGGGGTAGCAGCGTATTGTAGTGGCTCGCGCTAACCGTGATACGTGTTAGAAACAATTATGAAAATGAAAACAAATCAAATCGTTTCATTATTTTAACTTACGTGTTGTCACCGTATTTGCATGAGCACAATAATTAATAGTCAGCCTAAAGTATTAAAAAACCGGACGGTAAAGCTGTAATGTATTCTGGCACAGCGGTAGACAGCTAAGGAGGCTGAGGCTCAAACATCAACCAAACACTGGAGCATGTTGCAGGGTTGCAGGCAGCAGCCAACGTCACACTGCTGAGTGCACTGAGTGAGTTGGTGTGCTAGTGTAATGTTATAGCCTAGAGATGTTTTGTCTTTGTTAGAAGAAGTACTTAAGAGCAACATTCATTATCATTAACATTATCGGTGGATTTTTGTACCCCTTCATACCCCCCTTCCCATGCTATTTTCGGTCAAAATTGACCGGTGTGTTTTGCACAGTGATATCTCTGGAACCCCTTATCCAATGTTGATGGTTGACCTCTCATTTTAACAGTCAAAGCAAGTAGAATCAAGGGATGACAGACAGAATGACACCAGGGGTGAATTTCCTATTATTTTTGGCAGTAAGTTCAAAGATAGTGCTTATTTTACATTAATGTATATTATAAAAATGATTGCCATGTAGGCTGTGTTTACTGGAGATGGAAATGATTTAGTTAGTGTTGTAGTTGAAATTCTTCCCGTTCCAATGATGTATGGCATGGGTCGGCAACAGGCGGCCCGCGGGCCATTGTTGGCCCGCCAGCAATAATATTTGGCCCGTAATTTTGAGAATCAAAAATAAAATATTATTTTGATTTTTTTTTTTTTTTTACAACATAGGACCGACAGTCGCACATCAGGGTTTCCGTTAGCCGCCGATCGATCGGCCGCCGGTCATTATCGGCCGCCGGTCATTATCGGCTGATATTCACTCTTAATAGTTTGATCGGTGCTCTCTATAAAGGCCGATCAGGAGAGCTGGATCTGATCGATATGGACATAAACGCGAGTGAAGTGTAACCGGACCCGAGAGAGAGATCAGATCATGATGAATTGGAAATGGGGGACCCTGATGTAAACAAGACGAAAGTCTTTCTCTGGTCTGCATCCCCTTAACAATTGTATGTTTTGAGCTGTACTGTACTGTACCCAATATACAAGCTGTTAATAAACTTTTCAATCAATCAGCTGCTGAGTCTGATGGAGACACGCAGCTCTGCATGATCACCTGAAGCCCCGCCCACTGTTTAGCGAGCTGCATGAGAAACTGACGGGCTGTCAGGAGAGAGAGGGAGGGAGAGGGGAAAAGAGAGCATCCGTTTCTCCCGTGTTATTATTCAAAGTTATTGTACACTTTTGAATAATGTACTTCATCTACTACAAGTAGTTTGTTTGAATGTAATAATTATGTTGTTTGTGGAATCATTTATTGAAAAATGAATCTGAACTTTTTGATCTGTAACGATTATAAACTGAAGCAATATAAAAATGAGCCCCATTAACTGAGTTTTAAACATCAGCATATCCGGTCCTAGTCCGGTGATTACCTGCTAACGGAAACTCTGCTACACAATTATTATTCTTATTATTGAAACATGACCGGTAAGTTTCAAATTTGTCCGGTAAAATAAATTCTGTCCTGACATATCCGCTTACATTCATAATGTCAGAGGAGGGAGGGGAAGCGGCTCTGTGGAAGAGCAGAGTGGAGGGAGAGCTGTCATCTGCCCTTTACAAGCTTCAAACATGTATTTATCGTGTGATTTTGGAAATAAAAATGTCATATTCTGAAAGCCAAGACTTTGTTTATATAAAATCAAACAAAACACCCGAACCCCGAAAAACTATTTTTTTACGCAAATCCACGTTTATTTTGAAATGAGCCGTTGCGACTTCCGACTGATTTCGATAGAGCGGGTCATATATGGCAAATGTGTGGTTGGGGGGAACCAGGTCAATTAAAGTACTTATTTAACTATTAAATACATTGAGTTTGAGTAAAATACTTTGTTATTGATTAATTTAGGCTATAATATATGAAATTGCAAAGCAAAACTGCTGTAATTGATTTATTTTGTCCTTTGGTATTTTTTAAAGGTTTTCAACCTGAAAGAATCCTAATGTGTCCTTGAAAAGTTGAAATAAAGAAAAGGAAAAAGGATTCCAGTTGTCCCTCAAGCCTCTCAAATGTGGGCAAACACTCAAATAAATGCCAAAAACCCAGAGAACTTGACAATACTTATCAGAATAAAAGCATGTTAAATAACACTGCTAGTTACTTTACTCAGTGGAGGCTCGTCCATTGAGGAAAGGAAGGACCATCCTCCCTACAATTTCAGAGAAAAATAGACTTTGAAGAGAACAATAAATACACCTCAATTTAAAAGATAAGTCTGTTAAAATACAGATAATAGCCCTGGCTTTGGGACTGAAATGGGGCTAGAGAGGACGAGCCTCCCTTTGGGCGGGTCTAGCCACAGGCTCTGGATTGGGCGCCTATATCATCAGTGAACCAATCAGCGGATCTGACTGCGCATCAGAGTGTTGATGGGGAGGCTTATCAGCGATATCAGAGTTTTTTCGGAACCGGGGAACAGGGGCGCTGCGCCCTCTTACCAAAATAAATTCCTTGAATTAGGCTTTGATTATGTTCTGGCCCGCCATCTTGCGGCTCAGCAAAAAATTGGCCCACGGCCAAACTTACTTGCCTACCCCTGATGTATGGGATGTATTGATTTGATACAAGCAAGCCAGTGGTTCATGTCATGGTCCGGACCCACCGGTCGGCCCATCAAGTTCAGCATTCACTGTGATGAATATAAAATAAGACACTGATACTGTTTTCTTCAATGAACATTTATTGAAAGAGAAATATACCATAACAGAACATACGTGTGTGTGTGTGTGTGTGTGTGTGTGTGTGTGTGTGTGTGTGTGTGTGTGTGTGTGTGTGTGTGTGTGTGTGTGTGTGTGTGTGTGTGTGTGTGTGTGTGTGTGTGTGGGTGTGTGTGTGTGTGGTGTGTGTGTGTGTGTGTGTGTGTGTGTGTGTGTGTGTGTGTGTGTGTGTGTGTGTTTGTGTGTGTGTGTGTGTGTGGTGTGTGTGTGTGTGTGTGTGTGTGTGTGTGTGTGTGTGTGTGTGTGTGTGTGTGTGGTGTGTGTGTGTGTGTGTGTGTGTGTGTGTGTGTGTGTGTGTGTGTGTGTGTGTGTGTGTGTGGTGTTGTTGTGTGTGTGTGTGTAAAATGATGCTCCTCTCCCTCAGGTGCCTTTTCCTGGTCTGTTGTATAGGCTCATAGTCTGGATCGCTGTTGTCTTCCATTTCTGAGACATCTTCCTCTATCTCCTCTTCATCTGGTTAAAAAATGTGCCCAGAGCCCCTCGTACAGAAAATAGCCTAATCGTTCGCCTGCTCATTGTATCAATGAGTCAAATGTGAGCAAGGCGCAAATATAACTGCTTGAGAGCCAGTAAGGGAGGCGCATTGAGCGCGAGAAAGTGAGAGGTTTGTGTTTCTCAAGGGGCACAGAGCTCGCACCTGTGAGAAGGTATGATACATTGTATCATACAGCACGGGAAAGGGAGAAGTTCCCGTAATGTGTGTGTATATAGATGTTTTCCATCTGCAGGATGAACATAATATACTCATACCCATTCATTTCTATGGCGGTCAAATCTGACCAAAAACGTCAAGGGTTGAAACTGTTGAATAAATCACTCAAAATTCAATGCAAGTGGTGATCATCAAGTGTATATGTTCAGAGGCCTAGGCCCTTTCTCATTTCTCTAACTCCCCTCCTCGACTCCTATCCTCGACTCCTATCCTCGAGACTTAGTTCCGCCCACAGAAGATGCGAGCGGAGGAGCCGAGGAGGGGAACCGAGGAGAGAGGAGGGGAAGCAGCAGGCGGTTAGAGAAATGAGAACTCCTCTCCTCTGAGCGGTCATTTTAAAGAGACGTCCATTAATGATGACGGGATGCACAGCAGCCAAAGTAAATATATAAGTCGTCATGAACACATCTGTCCATCAGACAGAGGTCTGATGGACAGATGTGTTCATGACGACTTATATATTTACTTTGATTCATACACAGTGCGGTATAATGAGACAATAACAGGATACGGACACACACACACACACACATACACACACATATATATATGTATATATTTATATAAATATATACAATTTCAGAATCAAACAGAGCACTCTCATAATAACGTAACACTATCAGAGACTGGATATATTCTATTTATATTATACTGAGTGATATATATTTTACACACTGCTCTGCTTTCTGCAAATAATATCCAGGGGATGCATGCAGAGCTGTCATTGGCTGAGATAAGTCTGTCCGTGCGTCACAACGCTTTGAAACATCTCTGTTCCCGGAAATGCATCCACGAAGGAGCCGTGGAGGACCCATCAGTGTATCCTCAGTTATAGCTCCTCCAGAGAGCCTCGAAGTGCATTTAGAGAAATGAGATGTCCTTCAACATGGCGCGCTGAAATTCATTTCCGGGTCACTACCGGAGGACCGAGGAGTCGAGGAGGGGGATTTGATGAAATGAGAAAGGGCCCTAGTGTGGAGGATAACATAAGGTATTGAGGCAATTGGATGAAAAACACAATATTTATGATTAAAATAAAAGTAATTCGGTCACTTTTGACCCGAAACGCAAGAGAAGGAAACAGATGCCCTTTGTTCAGAATACAAACTCTATTTGTTCTTCATAAAGTGTAGGCAGATCACAACAAAGAAACAGGAATAAACAAAACTGAAATACAAAATGAAATAACAATGAATACATAAATACAAATAAAATAAAAAAGTAAGCATTGATATATTTAAAGTTAAATTAGAGCTGATAACAAAACAATGGCTCATACAGTTCATAGGTTTGCTTTCCATCCCCAAGGCCAAACTCCGGAGCTTCGGGGATAGAGCCTTCTCTGTGGCAGCCCCGAAGCTCTGGAACTCCCTCCCCCAAGACCTCCGTGAGTCTGAGTCCCTCACCCTGTTCCAGTCCCGCCTCAAAACCCACCTCTTCAACTCTGTATCCATAAGACCCCCCCCCCTCTCAACCAACTTCCTCCTGACTGCTTTTCTGTTTTGTTTTGTTTATTTGTTTCTTTTTGATTTTGTTTTATTTGTCTACCCTACCTCCCAAATGTAAAGCGTCTTTG